GGTGTATTCTAAGAGATTCATATAAAGTCCCTCACAGAACTGGGAAGGGACAAGTCCCCCAGAGCTCAGGTGAAGTGGGGGAGGACAGCTCATGGAGAGAGAAGTAGGAGAAAATGAGGGGGAGGAGAGGAAGGTATGTGCGACCAGGAGGATTGAGCCTGGTTAGGAATGGAGGATAGGAGAGAGAGAGAGACAGAGACAGAGAGAGAGAACATAGGAGAGGGAGCCAATATTCGTTTGAGGATAAAATTGAACACAAAGAAAGGTCGAGAGAACTACAAGACTGCTCCCAACTAACAATCTCAGCTTCCATGGAAAGGCTATCATAAATGCCCTTCCAGGAGAGTGAGATCAATAACTAACTTCTCCATGAAGCCCTCAACTAATGCCTGTTGAAAACAGGATCAAACACCCATACATAAACACTGAGTCAAACTAGAACCCAGATGAAGATGGAGAGGACAAGACCATGCGACAGAAACACATAGAGACAGCTTACCTGAACAAGGAGGAGATGACGGCCACTAGACTGATAACTGGGAAGCCAGCATGGGACTGACTCAGGCCCCCCTGAATATGGGTCTCAGCCAGAAGGACTGAGCAGTCTGGGAGACCTCAGACAGTGGAGCCAGGATGTATCCCTGGTGCACAAAAGGATTTTGCAAACATATCCCCCATGGAGGGATGACTGCCTTAATCTAGAGACAGGAGAGAAGCCCTAGTCCCTACTTCACAGGACCTGTCAGATCTACATGACCCCAACTGGATGGCATTCCCCTACATATGGAATTGGGGTGGGGGGATGGGAGGGGAGGGTGTTTAGAGTGCATGTGAGAGGGCAGAGAGGGTAAAAGGGAGGGAAGGAGAGAGGGAGGGCTGGGGGGAGGGAGGGAGGGAGAGGGAACTGGGATCGACATGTAAAATAATAAATTAAATTAAAAAAAAATGCTTTGACTCCAAAATTTAAGTTGAAGGACAAGTTACTGGGGAAAAGGACTTCTATTTTTTTGTTTCCACAGAAAATAAAAAGATGTGGATTCCTTCCAGACTATTGTGGTTTGATCACGCCAGACCGCCAGATACAGAGTACAAGCTGATCCTACATTCAAAACAGCTGGACAAAACAGCCCTACAGACTATAGCCAGGATATCTGAATCTTCTTCGAATCCCCCAAGACAGCGCCCCTTACCAGCAGGAAGTAGTTTGGAAAGAACGACGCCCAAATTCCCAAATATTGTGTACAAATTTTTTTTTCATTTTATTGGACTTTGTTATATAAAATTAAATTAAAAAAAATCCAAAAAAAACATAGCTTAACCACATGCTCTAGAGATTCTGAGACTTAGCATTTTCCCAAGTGATTTGAAAGCCTACACACATGGATGATCTTTGACATGTAATATATCTAAGTGTCATATATAAGATGGAATTCTATTTTGACAATAAAATACATAATCTTTTGTACACACTGCTAAGTGAAATGAAGTCAGTCTGAAAATGCCACACACTATATGTTCTTACTTCACAATGTGTGGAAAAGGCAACACTACAGATAGTACAAAAATAAGAACTGGGGAAAGGGCTCAGAGACAGGAGGGAACAGGTGGGACATGGAATTTTTAGGGCCAAAAAATCTTTCTCTGCATTATGGGGATGATATGTGCCATTTATACATTTGTCAAAACTCAAAGCACTGAGTCTAACAAAGTGTGGACCTTGATGTAAATTATGGACTTTGGTAAATAACAATGTGTCAATATTAGCTAATCAGTTGTAACAAATGTAATGCAGGCATGATGGTGCACACCTTTAATCCCAGAAGCATTTAGGAGCCAAAGGTAGGCGAATCTCTAAATTCAAGGCCATCCTTGTCTACAGAGCTCCAGGACAGCCAGTGGCTTCAAAGAGAAACCCTGTCCCAAGAAAACCAAAAACCAACAACAACCCCCCCAGAAAACAAAACACCACCCCCAATCAAACAAAACAAACAAAACCCCCAGACGTTCCATGGTAATGCCAGGCTTACCATGGTAATGATGTTAACTATTAGGCAAATTGCCATATAGTAATGGGCTGTACATTCTGTAAATTCCAAACTGCTCAACAAAAGTCTATTACAAAAAAGTAAGTGCACCAACAGCTGTTATAGTACCACAGTGATGAAAAGGAATCGGAAGAAAACAATATGAAGAAATACAAAATGTAAATTCTCTAAATTTGGTAAAATTCAAATTTATAGGTTCAAATTTAATGAAGCCCAAACAGAATATACATTTCACATACACCTTCCTCCCACACCCTGGCACATTACTGTGAAACTTTTGAAATCCCAAAACAAGGATTTTAAGAAGATTTTTATTTTAATTATTGAGTGTAGTACCCATGGAAGAAAGGGGGAGTGGGCTGAGCCAGAGTTACTAATGTGATGGGTGTGTTGGGATCAAATTTCAGGTTCTCTCCAAGACCAGTACATGCTCTTAACCACTGAGCCATCTCTCCAGCCCCACAACAAGGGGATTTTAAACACTGAGTGATGGGGTGGGTACCTTATGTACATGGAAAATGGAATGATCATAGATGATCTTGAAGAAAAAAAAATGAGGCTAATTTCAAGTTTCTTCACAAGTCCCTTTCATTAATACATATGAAGTATTAATAGTGAAATAAGTGATATTAACAAAGAAGAATGTGGGGAAATAAAACCAATTCCATAAACTTCCCTTTCCCTGTATTACTGCTTCTTCCTAGTGATCCTGACTACAAACTCATTCTAACTATATTAGTCCAACTATTTAAAACATAACCTGGCATGTGATACAAAGATGAAATCTTACAGGGTTATTTCATAAGCCATTTCAATACCAAGCCAATATGTGGATATTTAAAGGTCTAGAAAACTTTAATATTAAATTAAAATCTAAAGTGCTCTGAGAATTCATATGCCAAAAACTTCTAAATGACAATACCAAACAAAAAGCCTTAAGATAGGAGACATTAATCCAAAGAACATGGAATCAGAACCTCAGGGGGAAACATAAACTGTATCGACTTGAGTGTGAACTTTACTACATAAGTTCTCATTTTGGGGAATAACTATCAACAACAACCAAGGAAAACTGCTAGTCATCCATTTGTTTCAAAAGTAAATTGGCAGCGCTGCCTGCTTGCTTGAAGGGTTCTGAACCTTTCCAACACAGCTATGGGAGAGTAGAATTAACACTACCAGGTGAATTTTCTTGCCAAAGAATGAAGTAAGTGGTTGTTAACAGTGTTTCTCAACCTTTGGGTTTGGGTCACCACCCCTTTGATTCACAACCCTTTCACAGGTGTTGATTAAGATCATTGGAAAACAGATATTTATATTACGATTCATAACTGTAGCAAAATTACAGTTATAATAAAGTATCAAAGAAAATAATTTTGTGGTTGGGTCACCATAGCATGAGGAACTGTGTCAAAGGGTTGGAGCATTAGGAAGGTTGAGAACCGCGCCAGAGTCACTCAAATGTGTCTTCCTTAGAACACTCAGTCCTGTGGCCTTAGTCCTCACCAGCCTCATCTTCTAACTAGCCCATAGCAGTCACTACTTCAGGCTTAAGGTTTTCTGCTCATGCTCGCTACCTGCTACCTGCCTGTGACAGGCCATCACTTGCATTTCTGGACATTCATGTCCTAGTGAAAGGCAGGGAAATGGAAAGACATCAACACAATCTAACACACACACACACACACCTTTTATTTCTTTAACACGGACATTGCTTTTCCTTAATATGTTTGCTGTTTTCGTTAAAATTTCAAAGGAGTCTGTATGATCAGAAAAGTGTGGCAACAGTGATACCCTGCATATTATCCCACATTTCACTTGGCTAAGTCACATGTCTCTTAGGCTCCTTTGACTTCCAGATGCCACTAACCAGTGCCTGCTGACATCTCCCCTTTATGTACTTCATAGGCTTCAAAAGCTTCATCCAAAACGAATTCTCAATCGTTCCAAGCCTTTCTTCCCCAGTCCCCACCCCCACCCCCCAAACCAAGTAATATCGCCCACAGTAAAGAAGTTCCACAGGACCGAACTTCTTGTCACTTGACCCTTCCTTCACATTTACCCACCACACTCTATCTATCGCCACCTTACTGTCAAACTCGAGTCACAAGAGTCAAAGTTATTGCCTGACGGCCTTTATTTTAAAAGCAGCGCCAGAGCCTGGAGGAAATCGAGACAAGAGTAGCGACCACTGTGCCCTCCGGGTTTGAAACGTTGCCTTGCCTAGCAGTGCCCTGGGTTTATGCTAACCCCCCGCAGAGCCCACTTTGTATTTGCATCACCAAAATGGTTTTAATGTCACGTGAAGTCTTCTCCTACCTCCGGGATTTGATATGCATTCTTTCACCCTCATGGTCAACAGAGACTCGGGTCTCTAAGTTAAAATTCCGTTTCCTGTGATGAGTTGCTACGAAAAAGGAGTTTGGCATTTCTTAAAACAATAACCCTGTAGTTATGTACTGAGGGCCTGCACTTGTCTGCAGTCGCTCCCATTAAAGGAACGGAAGAGAAAAGGAGTAAGATGGAGTTTCTCAATTATTTTGAGGGGTCAGGACACCCCAGTGGAGGTTCCCTGAAGCCCCTTGGGGAATATTATGTTCCCGCACACGGTGGCTGAGACAGGCCTCCGCGCTTCGGTGCACACCTGCTCTGGCCCAGGCCACCGAGGGTTTCTGGCACCACCACGTTTTCCCGCAGAGTTAAGAAAGAATTCACTATCACGCCAGCGACCTCCAAGGTCAGGAGCATAGCCAATCCTGGTCTTTAGCCTGTCCTCTGGAAACCGCACCGAAATCCCTGTCGCCCGTGCCTTCTGCGGAGTTTCCTCCTCAATGCAAACAATGTCCGCCCGACCCTGGTCCCGGGAATGACCAGCACCCGCCAGCCACCTCGGCCTGCCCGCAGAGCTCAGGAGCCGAAGCCCGGGATCAGGGTCACCAAGGGCGCGGGGCTCACCTCGTAGCAGCGCCATGGTAAAGCTCAGTTACTCCGCGGGGCAGTCACGACGTCGCAGGGGCACCCTCCCTAGCCTAGCCTTAAGAGTGTGGGCGGCGCCCCGCGAGGCCGCGCCCCTGCCCTTTCCCCTACATCCCTCCCCCCACGCCAGCTCCCCAACTCCAGCGCCGCCAGGGTCAAGGTTACCCTAATCCTTGCTACTCCTGCCCGGCGCCCCTCCCCTGGGAACCAGGGATGACCCGGCCACACACCCATCTGGCCTATCCCTGGCTTCTAAAACCCCGCCCTCGGTCCGTCTCTAGGGGCGAGCTTGGCAGAATAGAGTTGGCGCCAAGACCCCAATCTCCCTCCTCCCCCCCGCAGACGGGAAGTGGGCGGGCCGACGGCAGGGGGCGGGGCTGGCGGCGTTGCGCTGGGATCGGCTGACCCTGCGCCTGCGCAGTCCGATGGCTGGGGCCCTGCTTTGTCTAGGGGGCTTCAACAGCGGGTAGCTGGGCGTCTAGAGAAAGGGTGGGGAGCTCGGTAGAGCAGGGCGCGACTGGGTCCCCGACCCAGCCCCGTGTGAGCCCGAGGTATTTTCCTTATATGATCAGGCCTCACGTGGCCGGCGCTGCTGGTCTGGAGCCTGAGAGGATTATGAAAACGTGGCAGGTGATGGGGCCCGGGGACCCGGCGCGGGGAGCTGAGGGATGAGGGGCCGAGGGGGAGGTGATGCTGGGTGGGGGGCTCCGGTTTAGGGATGCCCACGCTGCCTGTTTGAGCCCTGCCGATGATGACGTGACCACTGCGCAATCTGAGTTCTGGGAACCAGGTGATGGAGTGTGCTGCGAACACTGAGGCCGGGCGAGCAGGAGGCGGCCTGGGCAGGGAGGGGAGGTTGAGAGCACAGGCCCGCTTCCCGACACCCGGCACCGAGCAGCCTGGAAATGGGAACAGGGCGTGGGTGCGCTGTTGCTTAGTTTTAACTCCTCAGACTGCCTGCTCCACGATCTAGCCTTGTGTATGTGGTGGGGACTGTGATTTAAACCTAATCCTTTTCCCTCCTCTCTCTTTTTTTTTTTTTTGTTTGTTTATTTATTTGTTTTGAAGACAGGGTTTCCTGCTGTTCTGGAACTCATCTTGTAGACTAGGCTAGCTTCAAGCTACAAGATCGGCCTAAATGCTGAGATTAAAGGCGTGCCCCACTACTCATAGCTTTAACTTAATTTTGTGTATGTGTGAAAACTTTAAAGAATGCAGAAATGTGGAAAGGTTTGTGCAAGGAAGCTACTGTTTGCAATTTCACACCTACTCATTAAAACCTTATTTAAAAAAAAAAAAGTTGAGTTTACTTCATCCTGAGAACCCTTGAGCACAAGTTTATTTACAGCTCTCTTTGGAGTTTTCATGCATGCCTACATGCCTACAAAGCTCAAGCTAGGCGAACAAATATCTGCGCTCTTGCATGTGTTCCTCTATTTTATTCTCCTTCCAAGTCACCACTAAGAGGGGCTTCCAGGTTTACCATGAAAAGTTAGTACATACTCAGACAGGTATGTGTATATCTGCAGTTTCAGTATCAGAAAAGGAAGTGAGGTGCTCTCTTAACCAGATGATCAAACTTAGAATCACCAATAAGATCATGGACTCCCTTGTGAGGAGAACATAATTCACTTAAGTAGGATTCCTCCCCGGAATGGCCTGAATCTAATCACAGCAAGACAACCCCAAAATTAATTGGCAGTAGGAGACTGGCTTTTGGAGGCTTTGTTTTGTTTTGTTTGTAGTCATGCACAGAAATGTTTAGTTGCAGTATCTACGACTAAAGTCATTCAGGAATAGAGATGCATATAAACAGTAAGAAGAAAAATAAGTGGCAAAAATATTACTGAGGAATGGGAAAGTGTATTATACTCTGTACTGTTTTCCCATTTATGGAGACTTACGGAAAGGGGGAGGGAGTATCTTTTAACCAAGCTACAAAATTACTTAGAAGTATCTCTAAAGTAGTTAGTTATTTAGACAGGTACACCTGTAACACTATACCTTCCAAAATGTTACAGGGGCCTCCACAACAGACTTCTAAGATCCCAGCCTGGTATTGTGTCCTTACAGGTTAAGCCTCCAATGTTTTTAGAGATGCAGTGTTATCTCTTTCTGTAGTTAATTTTGGAGGGGAAGATACAGTGTTAACAAAGTTGGAAATTAGTGAATCCATTCCAAATCTATAAATTCTACGGTTAAGATCGTCCAGGATCTCAGCTGTGCGGCTCCGTCCTTCCTCCCACTCTTTCTGAGTCATTTTTCCATGCTTTCCTATAATCAGCATTGACAGGAGGTACAGTACTGGCAGCAGAGGAAAGCAAGCAAAGTCCTTTGGAGCTGCAGTAGTTTTACAACAAATGTATGATTGTGAGTCTGTGGTGCATACCTATAATCATAGCACTTGAGAGGCTGTGGAAGATAGGAAGTCCATCATGTCAGCATGGACTACATAGTAGGACCTGTGTCAAACCCCAACCCCTATAGTGACAGTGCAAGTGGAAAGCTTGCACATACACACAGTCTGCCTTGGTGAGAACTTTAATTATAAGGCAAATAATAGCTTGGGTATGGTTTTTACTTATAGCAAGTATTTGCTCTCCAGGAAGTTCAAGTTGTCAAACAAGGATAAACAAACTATAGACATGAAGTGATAGATGTTGATTTGAGAGCTTGCTTATTTTAAGTTTACCCTGTCTTGATGAGTTCCAGTAGCTGCGAGGCATTGTCTTAGACATGAGTTGAAAGTGTTTTTCTTCTCTATTTGTCTCAGGCTATTTGCAGATTCTTATAAGCCTTTCTTAAAATGTCATGTACCAATACAGAACAAATCTTGATACATCCTTGAGTACAAGGTCACTCTGTAAAGCAAAAATGTTGATCAGGGAAGACAACAGTTTTGATATCTTTCAGTCAGATGGGTTCTGAAACACACTTGTGGTTAATGTTCACAATAGGCGGGAAAGTGCACACCCAGGGCATACCTCAGGGAATTGGTTGGTATCTCAGCAAGAAGGTGTTAGGATTTGGTGTTTGATTTAGGCTCCAAAGAAGCAGGAGCTCCTGTCTGGAGCTGGGGATCAGTAAGTACTAGGCCAGCCAGGTTACCTTATCTCAAAACAAAAGAATAGAGACCTGGTCCAATACAATTTATGGGAATGCTGTTGTATACACTCTGTGAGAAAACCTTGTAGTGCCTATGGAATAATCTGTAAGATTAGAGCTTGGCTAAAGCCACACTTTGTGAAGAAGCTACAGTCCCTTGTAGCTGGGATGATTAGTATGCCATGGTTTCCATTTTTTTGTACTTAGGTGAACTTACAAAGTTGTCTTGTTTCATCTCACATCAGTCACAGTAGGTGTTGGCATTTTATAAGATCATGTGTCTATCTGGTACTACCAACCATATGGGCCTTAGCCAGGTCCTGGATTTGGAGCTGCCTTCCTTTCTCAGCCATTGGGTGGTAAGGGTTTCACATGTAAATACAGCTAATGTAAACTGTTAAAGCCTAGCCTGGAGGATCAGGTGAAGGCTTCATTAAAGTGTACTCTACTGCCAGTTGCCAGAGAAAAGGACTCCCATCCTCTGGTTGGACTCTGGGTCCAGAGACTTCACTAATACATTGTGAACATTACCGTTTCTTAAAATGCAGAGCTGCACATGCCCTCTACCTCTGAGCTACACCTCTGTCTACTAAGAGTATTTCAATAGAGGTTCCTAGAGATGTATATCTGAGAGTATCAGCCAGCCATGGAGATGCCTTGTTTTGTAAGTGTGGGAAGGGCTGGGGATGTGACCTTTATCAGTTCCCAGGCGATTTTGATGCTTTTTCCTAGGGAGGAAGTAAGACTTCCATATTTGAGTCCATGCCAGTCTCACATAGCTGACTCGCTGGGGAAAGGCTTCCCATCTTCTCAAGGAGCTTTTGCTGTTCCATAGAGATTTTAGAATGAGCTTGTCAATTTTTCACATTAAAAAAGACACTGAGATCTTGATAGGATGGAGCTGACAACATGGTGGTGTCCTTTTATCAGTGGAAATTATTTCTGAGATCTCAGAAAATGTTACTACCAGCTTAATGTCTTCTCTACTGTAGTTCAGCATACAATTTGTTTGGTTTGTCTCTAGGCTCTATTATTCCTTATTGACATGCTAATTTTTCTTATACCCAAACTGCCTTGAATTCTTTATAGCTCCAGAGTAATTGCTCAATAAATTTTATCTTCCAGACCAGTGGTTCTCAATCTTCCTAATGCTGTGACCCTTTAATATGGTTCCTCATGTTGTGGTGACCCCCAGCCAAAAAATTATTGTTGCTACTTCATAACTGTAATTTTACTATTGTTAAGAATTGTAATATAAATGTTCCCCCACCAATGATCTTAGGTGACCCGTGTGAAATTATTTGACCTCCAATGGGGTCATGACCCACAGGTTGAGAATCACTGTTCTAGAGCACATCCTTTCCCATCTCCAGCTTACAGGTGGCTGTGTACTGACCCCATGCATAACTGAATCAATACTTCAGAATTAAGTTCTCAAGGAAACATTAAAAGTAGGGGCTGGGGAGGTGGCTCTGGATAACAGAGAACATGTGCTGTGTAAGTAGTAGGACCTGAGTTCAAATCCACATCACACACAGAAAAGCAGGATGCACAGGCATATTTGTAACCCCAGTACGAGGAGACAGATGAGTGGGTATTGGCAGCTTGCCGCCTAGCCCCAGGAAGTGAGGTCCCAGTCCAACGAGAGACCTTGTCTCAGTGAAATAAGGTAGAGAGTGATGAGGAAGGTACTGAGCATCCTTCCCTCACCTGAACTGGCATGGGCAGGTGTGTACACACACCATACACACATACACACACACACACAGAGACAAACAGACACACACACAAACACAGACGACACACTTGCGCGCACACACAGAGGCAGACAGACACACATGCAAACACAAACACAGACACACACATGCACATACACATGCACACACACATGCAAACACACACATGCAAACAGACAGACACACATGCACACACACCATGAGGCTAGAGAGATGGCTTAAGTTAAAAGTACTTGCTCAAAATTCACAAGGACAGACTTCAGTTTCCAGTGCCCACCTAACAAGCTAGGTGACCCAGCAAACTCAAGCTAAAAGAGTCACAGGGGCTTCCAGCCCAACAGGAAACAGAGTCCCAGGTTCAGGGATGAGTCTCTGCCCTGAAGAAATAGGCAGAATGATAGAATGATTGAGAACACAGTGCACACACCTCACACATGTGTGTACACACTTATACAGGTACATATGCATACACTCATACATACAAATCTTTAAAAAAAAAAAGACTTTAGTCAGTACTACTTTTAGTCAAGCTGACATCTTAAATTTTGTTCAGATTTGGCACACCACTTTATTCAAAAGTATTTATTTCCACAAATTTTTGTTCACAGCTGAATAATTACAGCAACCATTATAAGCGTTTTCCTATAACAAAGCTGTAGTTTACAGACTTGTCCAAAATGAAAAAAAAAATTTTTTTTCAGTAGTATTTCTTCTGCAGTGTTACATTTACCCCTGAATATTTTGTTAACTCTTTGAGAGGCAGGCCTTTAGCTAAATGCCAGCTGATTGCAAAACATTATATGCAAATTGGCTTCTTACCAGTATGCTTTCAGACAGTAGCCCAATTCCATCCTGTTGATTCCCTTTGTTGGAATGTACTCTGTTACAGTGTGTGAGTGTGCAGACATGTGCCTGTGTGTAAGACCTTTCACTGTGGGCTCTGGGGATCAAACACAGGTTGTCAGGCTTCCATGGCATCTACTCTTACCCATTGAGCCATCTTGCTGTCCCAATTCTTGTTTTAGAAAAGACAATTTTTCATATCCAATGATGGTCATAAGAGAAAACAATCTTGTTTGTCATTGGCATTATCCTTTAATTTTCCTATATCTTGTAATTCTGTGATTATGGGACCAATGTGTTAAAAAAAAAAAAAAAGGGCAATTTTGGGTATTTGACTCATAGCAAGCTAACTGTAGAGATCAACTTGAAATGCTTTGAGGAGAAATGAAGGCCCTATGCTAGCACAGTTAGCCACCACTCACTCATAGTGCTCAAGTGTTTGGGAACTAGTATATGAAAAAGAATTGGATTCCAGTTTGATGCTGTAAATATCAATGCATTCATTAGGGCTCTAAAAGTTAAATTAGTGGTAGATTTTAGGGACCTATAGTCTCCAAACTCCTAATTTTCACAAGAGCCTTAACATTTGATCCTAAGGAATATCAGGAAGGAACTCCTGCCGTGTTCCATGGAAAGGGGGTTAAAGCTTACCACTGGGTTAGTCAGGCGAGCCTACAGGTGCTGCCTCTCTTAACTGCAGCGGGGTTAGCCCGGGGAGGATGTGCACAGATCACATGCTTGTCTGCTTTAGTGACAACTAATTTATGTGGAAATGCAACATTTCTATAGGGAGGTGGGTAGTACCTGGGCGATAGCACTTAAAATACAAAAGGTAGACTTATGAATAGTGGTTAGTTTTTAAGGTGCTTGCTTCATGAGATGAATGGGAAGTCTACAGGGTGCTACCTACACCGAACATTAGGTTTATCCCACAGCAACTCTTTCAGAGAATAAGTGGTACACAGGTTATTTCAGCAACTGCTAAAGGCACATGATAGAAAGATAAGCAAGCAAAGATACCTAGAGAAGAGTTCAAACTTGTGTTGCATATATTTAAAGATATTGATTTTGTGAAACTGGGGCGTGTTTAAAACTACCTTTAAAAGGGGAAGGGAACCCATTGCTGAGGGAGGCTCTGGGGTAGTGTGCTCTAATGATATGCCTGAGGACCTGGGTTCAATCCCCAGCACTGGGGGGAAAATACACAGAACAAAAGTGTTTAAAAAAAAATTCTCACAAGGTACTTTTTCACCCTTCAGGTTTGCAATGAAACAGGGAAGATGTAGTTGCTCATCAACCACTGTAATGTCAGTACAGCTCCAGTGGAAACTCCTGGTTTCTGGAAAAACTAAAGATGTTGTTTCTTAGGCTGTAGAGAGGATTAGTGATCATCTTCCTCTGTGTCTAATTGCTAAGCTTTTATTTAGTGAGCCTTTGCACTTCCTGACCAATCAGTGACAGGAGAGTCACAACCCACATGGGGCTGCTTGGGATGAGGAGATGGCTTCAAACTGTATGTGGGCAGAGAGCCACATTTGGGAAGACACCACTTCTTAAAAATGCTTAATAAGGCATTTTTGGTGTTCTTGGGGGTTAAGGACAGTCTATACATGAGTCAATTTTGAACTCTAAAGTGTATTAATAAACAAATTCTATTCATAACCAACTTTAAAGAGGTAGCCATGGACCCAGTTGTTTAAAATTGGCTTTCCAAAGAATTTGCTTTTGGTGGTTGAAAGGTCTGGTATAGTTATCAAGGGCTGTAACTGAAGGTGGTAGGCTGCTCTTAGAGACAGACACCTAAGTGCCAGGTGTGTGTGTGGGGGGGGGGCTGCACACTGCTCTTGGGGACAAACACTCAAGATTAGTTGGGGTGCTTACTGTTGACACAGAAGGGATAATGCAGATAACAATGCATTTGTTGTCAAACTTAATCTCAAGCCAGGTGCTGTTTCTTGTTCTGGCCCACCAGGCAAGGAGGACTAGGGACACAGTCCTGTAAAGACAGAGGATTCTAGGGCTTGGAGTCACTGTATTCCCAGGAACCTTCTAAACTGGGAGACACTCAGAGAGGTCTTCTAAAGTATGGAGAAATCTCAGTGTGATAATGAGGCTCCTGTATGATTTGCAAACAACCTGAACTGTCAGGGACAGTGCATACTTTTAATAAATATTGCTTATAAAAATCGGTAGAAAGAATATATAGTTGTCCAACTAAATCTTTGTTCTTGAGTCTGAAAAAAGCACCCACAGCAAAACAAAAGCATAAGAGCAGCAAATACATAAGCCTGTTCCATTATTATTAAATATTCTTTTAAATGTTTATTTCATAGTAGAGTATTTACATTGATTTTAAAGTTTGAAAAAAAAGTTGAAAATAACTTGAGAAGGGAAAGTTTTCTCTAAGCAGTTAAAGAAAAAACAAACCATAAACCTTTGGATTATAACTTAGTGATCATGCATTCTCCTTCAGACAATTGGGTTCTGAAACTGAAGTCTGTTTCCCTTCTGCTCTTGGGGCCTGGAGTCCATAGCATACTGTGAGGCCCTTGTTGAAGGTTTAGTGACATAGGGGAAGTTAAAAGCTTTCACCCTGGTTTGGCTTTTATACCTGCAAATAAAAGTTATCTATTCCCATCTGCTATTTTTCATACTTACATTGTTGTGGAAGCTTTGCTGGCCCCAGGGCATTGGCTAGCACTGGAAACTATTTGTCTACCTTTCTCACACTTGGTATCTGTGATGGCATTATGTAACTCTCACAAACCTGAGACTATGGCAAGAAGTCAAGCTTATCAGGGTCTGCGTCATCCTGTTTGCTTAGAAATGGTATACAGCATGTTTAGTGCGGAGGTCAGCCGTACCACCATCTCCTATTTACCAGCAGCAGTCAATACTTTGGGGAAACTTCTGCAGAGGTTCAGGCCCACAGTTTGTTCTTAAAACACCTCACTACAAGTTCATCCACACCTTTGGTTTATCAACATATGTAATTTTTATGGCATTCATATTACTCTTTGTTGAAAGACCCACAAAGGCAATTTATGTCATTATTTTTTTAATATTATCTTAATTTGGACATTTTCTTTCCAGTTATATACAAAGATCAAAGCTAGGCACTTCCACTCTGCAGAACTGGCATTTTTATATGGCAATTGGAGCTACACAGTGGCTATTCATTATGATGTGTCTTTGTTTAAACAATCTCCCACATTTCAAGTGTTTTTATTCTGAGCAGCATATACAAAAACTGACAACGTGTGTCACTTTGTTTAGTTCGGTACTCTCCACGGGTTCTCTAACTCTGGTTTCATCTACTTTGGGCGTATTTAACAGGTCTAGAATTCTCTCAGCTGACAGCACATGGTTCCTGGTTTGCCTTGGAAACACCCATCCTCAGACTTCATTGAGAAACTCCAGACTGAGACATGCCGGAATGTGGATTGAGTCCATGGTCAGGGCAGACGGATTAAATGGAAACAGAACAGGAAACATGTGTTTGGAGTCCAGCAGTAGCTGCTGAGGGTCATTCCTCTCTTGTAGTTGGGCCTGGGGAGGGAGAGTAAGAACATGTAAAAACTTTACAACAACCTAAAGTTTAAGTAATTCCACCAGTGCGAGCGGGCATAAGGCATGGAAAGACTTCTAAAATAATGTATAAGGTGTACAGGGTCAGGAGAACGTGGTCTTCCTGTGCCTGTGAGGCATGTAGTGGAGACAAGCCCTAGTCTGGGTTGTTGGAGATCAGATGGTTAAGCACTGTTGCCATTCTAGCATTATGTTAATGCTTCCAGCTACAAGAGAAGGTGAAACTATGAGAACCCCATGGGAAGACTGATGGCATCGTTCATCGACCAGATCTTACAGCAGTGGTTCTCAGTTTTCCTCATGTTATGATGATCCCCAGCCATAAAATTATTTCATTGCTACTTCATAACTAATTTTGGTACTGTTATGAATCATAATGTAAATATCTGTGGTTTCCAATGGTCTAAGACCATTCCTGTGAAAGGGTTGTTCAATTCCCAAAGGGGTAGCTATCTACATTGAGAACCAGTGCTCTAGAGGCAGGCTTCCTGCCCTGAACAAATGTCCAAACCTCCCTATGTCTTAATTTTGTCATCCGCAGAATGGAACATCATGAAAACTGCCAAGGCAGGAAGTCTAAGGATGAGTACCCCACTGAAGCAATCACTGAGTTTGAAAGCATGATTCTGTTTAACCATTTCAAAATTCTGGGACACACTTAGAGACCCATTATAGCCATGCTGATGAAGAGAGATGGTGATCTTTGGGAGTATGTGTCTGAACCTACTTTATGCCCCATTCCTCAGCCTCGAATATGCCAATGGTGACAGAAGCCCACATCCCTGGAGTGTCCAGGGAGTGTCAGGGAAAGCAGTGGAGTTTTGACCTCTAAAAGAGTGAGATTGTGAACTTTGGTTCATCTGCTGGAATTCAACATGGATACTTGTCTTGGAAAGGTTTTTCATTGGATACAGTGGTTTATCTTAGTGGCATCAATTGGAATATTTAAAAGGACGAATTCCCTTATCTCTTCCCCTCTCTCTGAAGAGACAAAAGGACAATAACCAAAATTAAATTCATTAAAGGTGCTCCACAGCAGGCCTGGGGAGGCAGAAAGGAAGCCCAGTGAGCTGGAAGACAATAGTGTTGAAGTGACCAAGTCTCAGGAAAGAAAAGGATGAGTAAGAAATCTAGAGCTGGGTGTGGTGCTGCACACCCTCCAACCCCAGCGATTGGGAAGTGGAGGCAAGAGGATCAGGGTTCAAAGTCATTTTTGACCACATAGCAACTATGTAGGACCCTGACTGAAAACAAACAAACAAACAAAGCTTGAGGGTTCAGGAAGCAAGGTATCAACATACATGTAGAAGTAGCAAAAACGAGGGAAAGAGGCAGAAAAACATTTAAATAAAAACTAAACCCATCCAGACTCCAATGGGCAGTGGTATGAATACATCCACCCTCCTTGAACTTTAGTCAGGATAAACTCACACACCAAGATATACAAATTGTCAAAACCAAAACACAGGGAATCCTAAAAAGAACAGTGGAGGAATGCATTTGCCATAGAGTACCCTGAAATGAGACTAACAGTCAATTCTCATCAGATGCAATGGACATTAGGAGGCATTAGGGTGATACAGCACAAAGGGGGGGGGTACATGAGAAATTTACATCTGACAAAATTTCCTTCAAGAACACAGGGAAATTTACATCACTTCTGGAGACAAAGACATTTAATAAAAGTTTCCATTCATCATGAACAGTTATAGATGGGAGCACAATTAGAATATTTGATGCCCAAATTGACAGAACTGAAGAAAGATAAAGTTCTCTGTTAATTCTGGGACACTTTAATCTCCCACTTTTGGTGACATAGAGCATTGTAAGATAAGGTCCATAAGCAGGCATGATGAACTTTTTTTTTTTCTTTTTCTTTTTTTCTTTTTCTCTTTTTCTTTTTTTTTTACATGATGGACTCTTTAGGATGGAAGTTGGGTCACTGGGGCATGCCTTTGAAGATACAGGGACACTGTCTCTTGCTGTCTCTTACTCTTGGGCTATTGTGCAGTGAGCAGGTATCCCCTGCCCAAGGCTCACATCATTACATACTGTGTGTTCACAGACCCTTAGACAAAGGTTGAGTCACTGTGGACTAAAATATCTGAACGTGAATCATGAAGAACCTTTCAAGTTAATCTTAGGTACTATGCCACAATGACAAAGCTAAACTACACAATACAGATTTTTCCTTAGGAGGAGATGGAGGGAACTCTTCTTAAAAGGCTGTGAGGACCAAGAGTCAATAGTTCAATGCACTGAGTTCAGTTCTGGCACCTGGCAAGTGCTGTATTTGTCATTAGTATACCCTTACTTTGTTCTTCCTGACTTGGAATTAACCATTAACAGCTAACTACAGACTCCAGCAAGGAGCTGTACTTTTAACTAAGGTCACTGAACTGTGGAGAGTGTTGTCAAGGGGAAGATCCATAAATCTGCATCAGGAAAGTATAGGTCATGCCATGACAGCTTGAGACACAAAACTTTGTTGTTGTTTTGTTTTTCCTTCTTTGTGATAAGACACTATTGCTTCATATAGTAACAGTGTCTTGCTATAGTATAACTTTCTAGAGTTTAATTGTTACCCAACTTTGGAGTTGGAAAGCCAAGGGCTGTTCTTTGCTAAATCTCCGTAGCAGCTGGCTTTAACAGCTCTAGCACTCTGAGCATCTTTACCATTACTCTTAAACCTTGAAGCGGGCTGAGGCCTGCAAGTACCAGTGGCTGTGAAGGGCGAGCCATTTGAGTACAGGTCTCTGTGACTTGGACTGTAGAACATCAAATTGCTCACATTTTGTTCATTTACCTGGATGATGACAGAAAGTGCTGCTGAAGCCTCCAGATGTTAGCCACAGCATACTCATTTCTGGCATCTGAAGAGTGGGGCCACAACTTTAAAGAGTCTGACACAACAGTTGGATATAAGAGGTGGGGTTTGGAGGAGATGAGGCTATTTACAGAGGAATAAGCAACAAGCTTCACTGATTCAGGGTACCAGTGGTGGCTCGGGTGAGACCTGGCATGGTCTCTTATTGATGGCTTCATTGATTCTTGTAGAATGGCCACACACCCATGATTGTGGAGAGCAGGAGGCTCCGCAGGAAGCCACTCAGCATTGCTATTCCTCATATTTCAGGGCATTAGCTACATTGTGGGCTCTACTATTTAAAAGCCCTGAAGAATGCCCACCTAATTTTTGATAAAGGAAGCAAAAAAATACACCCCAGAAAGATAGCCCTTTAAATGGGCAGTGCTAGCACAATTGCAGAAGAATGAAGTTAGATTTGTATCTTTCACCTTGTGCACCATCAATTTAAAATTGATCAGAGACCTTAACTCTAAACCCCAAACCTGAAACTTTTAGGGAACTTTTAGAAAATAAGATAACGGGGTAGGCAAGACATATTCAACTACAGCATCAACAGTGTGGGTGCTAACCCCAGCACTATCAGATGGATTGCATGAAACAAAAGATTTCCACACTGCAGAGTCAACAGTGTACAGGACAGGAGCAAAGCTTTATCAGCTACCCTCAGGCCAGGGGCAAATATCCAACACTTACAAAGAACTGCAGAAAATAAATACCAAGGGAATAAACCTGCCAACAACAAATGGGCCAATGAACTCAACAGACAGCTTTCAAAAGAAAGAAACAAAAAACAAAAAAACACAAATGGCCAATAGCTATATTAAAAAGCATGTAATGTCCGAAGTCATGAGGGAAATGCAAATTAAGATTATTTTGAGATACTACTTCACCCTAGTCAGAATGACTATCATTGAGCAATCAGAAAAAAAAAATAATGAAGAGGATGTAGAGAGAAAAGGAACTATTATGTGTACTGTTGGTAGGAGTGCTAATTAAGACAGACATTAGGGAAATCTGTTTAGAGCTACTATATGACCCAGCTATTTCACTCTTAAGCATATACCCAGAGGCACTCCATACCCCACTATAGAGATTTCTATAACAGTTGTGGACCTGGTTGTTTACAAACAGAAAATATATAATATATATATTCTATTGCATATATAATGGAATATATTAAAGAAAAAAATGAAGTTTAAAAGTTTCAGGAAAATGGATAGTCTTAGAATGTATAATAGTAAGTGAGATTACATAATCTCAGAAAGAAATAAACTTATGCAGAATGTAGCCAAATATATATATATATATATATATATATATATATATATGCATGCATGCATGCACCTGAAGGTACAATGTGACATGAAAAGAACAAGAAAGGCTAAATACTAAATATAAGGGATGATGAAGGACTGAATGCAGGTTATTGACATGAGTTATGAAAGAGGACATAAAGCTAATTATATTTCTGGTTACAATTCGGTCGTGGATTGTTTTGAATAGTAAACATGTACATAAAATATATTCAATACTGAAAGTGTAAAATTTAAGGTGAAGACTCACAGCTTCTGTTCCGAATACCAACCCCAACTGTATATAAGTTTGCTAAGATATAATCCGACCTTAACTGTATATGAGCTCACTAAGTTGTATAGATTTTGGATCTGGTTAATTTCCATGTGTGATGTTTTTATTTGAAAGTTTTTTTTTTAAATAATAAAGATCTTAAACAACACCTTGAGGAAACTGTAAAAGACATCGAGGTGAACATGAAAAGGGGTGGAAAGGAGAGGCTTCATGACAGCAGTTTCAGCTGGGCTCAAGGTACAGGTACAAGGTCTCTCAGAAAAGCCCTGTGAACTCTGGTAGGTTTAACAGCTCTCAAGCTTCCAGTATCCAAGTTTTAATATTTAAGTGTTGTTTTGCTGTGCAATGCTTCAGTAATTCATATGTTTTTAAACACGTATACTGCATCTAATGTGCACGCAATGATATGTCTTACAAGCAGCGTTGACTGTTGGGACATGAGATCAAGTGTGGTGGGGGGTGGTGATGGGATGGGATTGGGGGTGTGGTGAGGGTGGTGACTGCTCACCACTTGTACTTTTGTTTGAGCTGCTTTTCAACCCTTCACAAAAATTAGTAGTGGGTCGGGGTATCTCATGGCTTCTCCCTCCCATCTCCCAATTCTTTCTCTGCAGTCAGGAGCTGGCTCTATGCTCATCCTAACCCATCCTCCCACTCAGCATCCTCCCTCCTCTATTTTGATGCATTCTTGTGTGGGTGAGCTGGCCTGTTCTGAGGGTTGTATGCTTAGTGGGCCCTGGCATTTCCCCATTGCCCTTGAGGCAGGCAACAGCTACCTTTAGTCTGCTTTGGCATCTGTCACTTGACCTCTGGCTTCATCTCTACTCAAATACCAGGCTAAAGTTCATTTATTTTTTTCCATGGGTCTCTTCAGGTCCAGGACACTCTTTCTAAATCTCTAGAGCACTTTAAATCTTGGAACAAAATCTCCAGCCTTGCAAAGGAGAACAGCATTCTATGCCAAAGCCCTTGTCTTCTCAGGGCCTCTAACAGCTTTGATAAATCTCCATTTCTCTGGTCTCCCTTCTGGGCATGTTCCTTCAGTTCCCATCCTTGGTTCATGCTGGCCAATACAATGTGTCTGTCCCGCATACCTCCCCTCCCCCTACATGTCCCAGTGAGGGAAATGAGTCCTATTTTGTGGAGTCACAATCAGCTCCTGCCAGTCACTGTCACACAAGAAGGCCCCCAACAAAACCCAAAACTCCCTGGGCTCAGCTTGAGGAAGCTAGTGTTTAGGTTAAAAATTTACATCTCAGGATGGATCTCTTAAATAAATTTCTCCTTACCGTATTCTCCAAAGACAAATACTGTATGGATCAGGGACACAGTTTAAGAGTTTTGATTTACTTCCTAGAGGATATTTCTTAGTTCCACATGGGAGGAATTGAGATTAAGCCCTCTTGTTAAGCCCACCTGGTAGCTTGATTCAGAAAAGTGTTCCTGGCCAATGAAATGCTTGAGTCAGAAAGCTGAGGGGCTAAGGTTAAGTCCACCCATCTGTGTGTTACTATTACTACTACTATTATTACTATAGTAATAGTTACTATTATTGTGAACACTGAGGTTCACGTTCATTTAAGTAGGAAGCCTATGAATGCAGGCTTTTCTAGCACACGGTGTAGCCAGCATTAGTAAAGAGAAGGTTAAACCCTGCCCATTCCGGCTTCTGACTAGGACTTCATATAACTGGTACAAGACTCACCTGTATTGTTCTTATAAAGGACACTGTTACCCGCTCTTCAAATTCATTCAAGGGAGTGTAAAGGTTTAAAATTTTGACAATCTGTTGGAATGAAAACAAAGTTTAGCACAGAACCAGGCAAACTGAAGACAACTCTGAAGTTTCAGACTCTGTGATAGCGGCATCGTACAAGTGTGTAACTCTGTGGAGAGAGCCCATTAGGCGTGTGGCCAGGCTGCTGTTTATGGAGTTTTCACCCATGGCTGCCTCTGCAAGGTTTGAGCTTCAGTACCCACCTTTCCCCTATGCTTGGTGGCTTACACACAATGAGTTCAGAAAACTGCTGTCTGGGACTCACGGCCTCCTTTCTGCTGGCAACTTAAAGGTTCTTCAGAAAAGCGCAGGGATCTTAGATGAGGGAGGGCTTACTTAACCATGCTTACATCTCTTCCTTAAGAAAATTCATTTATGCCAGGCAGTGGTGGAGCACATCTTTAATCCCAGCACTTAGGAGGCAGAGGGAGGAGGATCTGTGAGTTTAAGGCCAGCCTGTCCTACAGAGTGAGTTCCAGAACAGCCAAGGACGCAAAGAAACTTTGTCTCAAAATGACACACACAAAAAAATAAATAAGTAAAAATCATTTACAAGTGGGATTTTCTTCTTAAGCAGACACAGCCTTTTGTCTGCCTATCAGTTGTTTTGGTGGAAGTACTCTGGCCTCATGCAAGGCCAACTGCAAGCAAGAAGTAAACTCACAGAGGGACCTGGGAAACAGGAGCATTTTCAGCTTTCTTAAAGAGTTCTCTGGTTCATTTCAATGGACAGTGGAGGAAGTCTGAGAAGCATGTGTCCTTCAATGAACCGTGTTTAGAGCTGGCTGCAAAGGGGAAGGTTGGGAAGGGCATGCATTTGATCAGAAGAGACTGGTTCCATTTGTCTGTAGACTATTTCGAAGTGTCCAGATCAAAGGTAAGATCTGGAGACTCATCTCTCTATAGACTAGCCATTTGTATGTCTACAACATACAAATACAATTTTTGCGGAGAGGAATTTAAAATAATGAAGTACCTTTAGGTCTGTAAAGATTCATCTAAGATGATATAAATGGGGTCTTAGAATATGACCATATGAAAGTTATAGTTGTAAAGAAAATACATAAAGAAAGCAAACAGCCTCATACTGACGGATTCAGACAAAGAAATCTCTTTTTGGTAAGAAACTATCTGGAGCTGTCTTTAAAAAGTTGTGACATGAGGTCAGCAAGATGGCGCAGTGGGCCACCAAGTCTGATTACCTGAATTCAAATCCCAGAGTCCTCATGATGGAAGAGAGAACCGACTCCTTTCAATCACCCTCTATTATCAAGGTTTGTGGGTTTACCACCTTGTAAGTTAGCACATAGGAAGGAACAGAACGTTTTAGGGAAATGGCATCAGTTTTTACAGACCAAAGTGACCTCCACTTCATCAAGACCATGTTCATCAGTTGCAAATGGGGAGTGTGTCAACAAGGCTGGCAGGACCACATCAGAAAACTCTGGGCAAGAACAGACTGGTGGGGCCAGTGCTGGTCTCAAATGGTTGTACCTGCTGGGTGCTGAGGGCTGTACACAGAGAGCAGATGGCTTCAGCATCCTCCTGTGTTTTCTTCTTCAACTGAAGGAGCTGGGCTGCCTGGATCAAAGGTTCCATCGTCTGAACCGCTCCACTCTGGTGAAGGTTTTTTCCTCGAAGCCACTCTTCAAGTTGACTTATATTGTACCTGAGCCATAGGTAGAAAGGGAGCTGTGTTGGGCCTTAATTCATGGGGGAGGGAGGGTACCTGCTGTGTTTTACAGGTGAGGTGTAACTAGGGTCATCCTTACCTTCACTTTAACCTCATGTGGTTAAAAGCTTTCAGAGTATGGGTAAGGAGGCAGCTCAGTTTGTAAAATGTTTGCTTTGCTTTGCCAACGTGAGGACCTGAGTTTGATCCCCACACCCATATTTAAACACACGCACACATCCATGCACGCACACACCCCACAAATAAACAAACAACAACAAAACCAAAAATGATCAAGGTGGCACACAGTTGCAATCCCGGTGCTGGGAGGTGGAGATACCTCATTGGCCAGCCTAGACAAACTTTGGCAGGTTTCAGTTCAGGGAGACTTTTTTAAAGGTGGATATTTGAGTTGTCCTCCAGCCTCTATATGTTCATGTACACATGTATGTACCACTCCTATATGTGCACACACATGTTATAAAAGGACAAACTCTACAGAGTGCCTAGCACTCAGTAACCATATGATGAGAAAAGAATGAATAGAAGAGGAATGCATGCTTAAAATCAAGCAAAGCTGAGATACCCAATGTGTCTATATAGTAACAGGGAGGAAAGCATTCAGTATGCTAAGTTAAAAATCTATATTTAACATTTACAAATGTTTATACTTGACAGCCCCGATAAGTCATAACTTATCCATATTTCTCACTGACCTAGCCACATTTCATTGATCTTCAAAGGACATTTGAGCATCACTAAGCTAGTGAGCATCTAGTTTGTTTACGAGGTCACTATCTCTGCAGGGTGACCAGCACCAATCAATAAAAAAAAAAAATGTGATGGTTTGAGTCACATACTGATTATGACAAGGGCTACCAGTTAGATGTGGATTTCACCTTGGACACAACGGCCTTGTGTTCTGCCCCCAGCCTGTGTTGGGCCCCTTAGCCTCCACATGCTGGCATGGGCACCTCTCTCACCTGAGCTGCATGCCTGTACTCCAAGAGCAAGCATCTTTCCTCAGGAGCAGGTTGTTAAGAGTCACAGCATTGATCATGTAGAAGAGCTGTTTGAACACCTGCAGGATAATCTCAGGGTCCAGGCCCTGGTCACACATGACAGTATGGAACGAGTTCATCTGGCGGATGATGGCCTCCAGGCAGTATGAGTTCTCTCCATCCACCATGCTGGAGGAGCGCTTCCGGTAGCCAGTTGGCCTCACACCAGATAGCGCCTGGATACTCTCGTTTTCCAACATGGCAGAAACTGAAAGGAAGGCGTGGTTAGAGAAGTCTGTATGTTCCCCTCAGAATTCTACTGTAGGACCACTCCTTGGCTGGATGAAACCATTCAGATGGTGTCAACATATGCAGGGACTTAACACATTTGGCAAAGAATTCTGAATGTGGTGGATGTAAATCTTACATAAAAAAAAAAAAAACATGGATCAAATAGTCACTTAGATTCATGGGGATTGGACAGATAATGGATATGTACTAGCTGGATTCCATACAACCTCATGCTTACCCCAGGATGGGCCTGGCTTTGGGGAAGCCATAGTTGGTAACAACTGGTTGCTGCAAGGCAAGGCAAGCTTGCCACAACCCCCCCCCTCCTCCTCCAGACCACACAATGTGTGCTGGAAGCCTTCAGCAGCAGCTTACCTATCATAGGTTGTAACAAGCTCTCAGCAATTTTAATGAGCTGCTGATAGATCTGAATGGAAAGGTCGCTTAGCACCTGCCGATATTCCGTGAGGTCAAAGTTCTTGAGACAGTGCTCATTCTGCTTCGGAGTGTTCTGCTTCATGAAGCCCTGAAGAGGAAGAATGCATATTAATGAACTTCTGGGTACCCCTAGGCTCTGCCCACCTTCTGGAACTTGGGTCACCTTAACAACTCCCTATTTGCAGGGCTCTGCTCAGGCCTTCCCTATGTGTACTGATCTCAAAAGCAGGAGGCCTTTGGGATGGCAATCTCATGATGGATAAGTCAGAACTCTGTAAATGAAAAGGCCTACATCATTCAGACCCTCAAAATAAAGGTGAGTTCTATATATTAAAAACCCAAAGCCAGGAAAAAAATAGTAATAAAGGAGGTCCCGTGCTTTCTGAATGTTTATCTGGTATTATCTGCATTCAGATTGCCATAAAATATCTTAGGCTATACAAGACCCTACAGGAATAGGGCAGGTTCTATTTGTAGGAGACATCTATGGACTCTGCCATTTATCAGTTACCAGGCAAGCAGGAGTGGTGACTGCATTGTCCTCTTACCCTGATGTAGTAGGATGAACCTGTGATCTGGGATAAGTAATGACATCAAAAGGACTTTGTGATTGGGGTCTTCTTACCACTCTCTTTTGTTTTGAGATGGTCTTGCTATATCGTCTAGGCTGTCTTTAAAATTGTGGTATTCCTACCACAGCCTCCCAATTGCTGGGATTAAAGGCATGTGCCACTGAGCCTAGTTCCAATGTCCTTTTTATTCAGGCCAAGAGGAATCAACAGCAGCCAAAAAAGATCAGGACTGACAAAGAGGCAGCCATATCCCCTCACTGTGGTTCAAATCTTGTCTCCAGGAACAGAATTACATGGAGCAGCCCAGGGTCATGGTGGCCTTAGGCTTGCCCTTGTATAACACACTGGCTTCTAATTGTCAAAGGGGCAAAAGTCTAGAATCAGCTGGGAGGCCGGCCTCTGGAGCATGCCTGTGAGGGATTTTCTTAATTGGATTGAGGTGAGAAGACCCACCAGGAATGTGGATAGCACCATTTCAGTGGCTGGCCCTGGACTGAACGCAAAGGAGAGAGGGAGCCCAGCACTGGCCTGTTTATCCCTCGCTCTCCCTTCTCTATTGTGGATGTCACATGGACTAGCTGCTTCTGCTGCCTTGATTTCTCACAGTGGTGGTCAGTAACCTGGAGTTTATTGTAAGCCAAATAAACTCTTTCTCAATTAAGTTATTTTTTTGGTCAGGGCTTTCTGTCACAAAGGAAGCTAAGGCACTGTGAAGTGAGGGACATTGATGAAGTAACCTGAAGTGCTCCACAGGTAAAGAGCTAGCATGTGCTATTGTGGGTGAAGAAAAAGAAGGCATCTAACCTGAGACAAAGGGTGTTTCTTCTACCTTTACCTTCCCTTTCATTATAAAAGCAAGTGCCTAAACCCAAGTTCGAATTCTTGAAGGGAGTTGGGATCAAATGCACTCCAAAAATGATTGACAGGTGAAGGAGAGCCATTTACTACATCAGGGAGAAGAGTGTTCCTGTTGGTTCTGGCACAAAAGATGGAGTAAAACTTTAAAATACTGTTGCATGGTTTTAATTCTTGCTCTACCTTGGTCTTGGGCAGGGTGAGGTATGTGGAAGTCAGGGGGAGGGGAGAGTTGAGACTCTGTGGGGATGTGGGAGGTGGAAGGCCTGGATGCAGTGAGATTCTCACTGGGGGAACTGGAGAGTGTACTGTGTGGCATGAAGCTGAAGGCAGGCACTGCATGGCAGAGGGAAATCCCACCTGTGTTGGGAATGGTGAGTTCAAGATAAAGCAGGACTCAAGAGGTCTAGAGTGGAACAGGAAGTGATTTATCAATTGGGTCTCAGGTCAGAAAATCAAATTAATCTAGAAGCATGAAACTTGACCTCAATGTCTATTTGCACCATGAAGTTCTATACAGGCTACCTCTCTTTTTGTGGCCATCTTTATTCTTAAATAGACAGAGCTTAAAAGACATCTTAATGCACCAGACACTTGACCTTTCTCCCAGTCTTCGCTGTCATGGCTCCTTTAGGACAGCGTTAGAAATACAAAGGTCACACGGGTCCCTTAGAGAATGAAGGGGCTTTCTGGCACTGTGTGGTTAAGCAAACTCAATTCTATAACTATTCTACTGTTTTGATTAAGGGGTGGTTTTTCAGGGTTTCTTGGGTTCACTGAAGCCCAAAGTCTCTCTGCCCCCACCTGGTCCTGCTAACACATGCCCACAAGCTGAGGGTCCAGCAGGTGCCTCACAGGCTTTCCACCATCATCTAAGGAACGCCAAAGCACCCCAACTGCAAATAGATAACGTGTGGCCCACAGTGAGACACTTTGCTCAACACTCACCTCATCCCCACTGTACTGCTTCAAGCAGTGAAGGAAGCGGCAGGTGTTGGACAGCCAGAATGACGTCATCTCAAAGTCATCATTGTGCTTCTGTGAAAAGGAAAGCATGCCACTGGCTCTGAGTGAAGTGTCTCCCACTGGCTGACATACATCCCTGCTGCCCTCTTCCTGTATTTCCTGTGTCACCTAGCATTCCTCAGCCAGCCCTGATGTATGCAGTCTACTTGGCATTCACAAGAGTGGATACCCTTTGCTGAGGTTTGCTGTTTCTCCACTCCCTGACTTGGTACACAGATGGAACCGTTCTCTGGTCCCTTGATGAGTGGTGTCTACACCTGCACAGGTGGGAAGAATAGGCTGTCTCCCAGAGTTAAGGAATGTAAAGCTTAGGCCCATCAGTCCCAGGCTCTAGTCTAGTCAAAAGTTTACCCTGGCGGGGGCACAGTAACAAAATACACTAATGTCCCACTGGTCTAAAAGTCAGATGTTCAGAGGCAATAGACTGAGTGAGCAAGGCTGCTTAGCAACCTATACACAACTTGACCTATCCAGTTCCTATATTACATCCTCTTAATTCTCAGAGCCCTTCCTGTAACACAACATCGTTATTTAAATGCAATGACTATGAGCTATGACAATAAAACAACAAGGCCGACCACACAGGCTATGGGCTAGTGCAGGCAAATCTAGCTCAGAGCTAAAAAAGACCTCTCTGAGGAAGTGATGTTTGTCGTCCTCGGCTGCCTTAGTCTCCAGCTGGAGCTTTTAGGAGAGGTCAAGGCCAGAGATACAGATTTGAGAGTGACCAGCATGTGCATGACACACTTCAGGGAAATTAGTAGGTAATGCTGTGTGGAGACCGTGAAGATTTGTCGTTGTGATTGGTTTCATAAAGAAGCTGAATGACTGACAGCTGAACAGGATAAAGTTAGGTGGGAGAGCCAAACTGAGAATGTTGGGAAGGGGAAGGGCAGAGTGAAGAATCACCAGCCCGATGCAGAGGGAGCAGTAGATGAACATGCCACGCTAATGGAGGTACCACTATGGGTTAATTTAAAATGCAAGAGCTAGTTAGTAATAAGCCTGAGAATTGGCCGGACATCTACAATTAATATAACTCTGTGTGGTAAGCTGGAAGCGGCTGCCAGGACAGGAAAACTCTACTTACAGGAGCCTGAGACAGGGAAGGCAGGACAGCTGCCAAGGACACACTGCCAGAAGTAGAGACTAGCTCTCTCTCTCTCTCAAATCATGGACCACAGGCTGGTAGACCAGAAGAGGCTTGCCCATGGTGCTCTTGAGGATGGTTTGCCTCCTTGGAGTCAGCAGTATTGGGGAGGTTACAAGTCAGTCTATGACATAGGACTGTCACTGTCACCGAGACGTCTCTTGTCTCTAAAATCTCCTTCCTGCCACCTGGCCCCAGCTCCTCTGTGAACATGTCTCATCACCAAACAGCTGCTACTACATTCATCTTCTGTCTTAAGGTGACATTATTGAGCTGTTTTCACACCCACCCCCAGGCAGGCCCAAGCTGGCCCAGACTGCCTCATCCTGTAAAGTGATGATTGGCAGCTGCTCTCCTTGTGCCACCAGATAGTGTGTCCTAGCCTCTTGAAAAGGTGAGAGAGAGAGAGTATGGCTTCCTGAACTCGGTACAGAGGCAATCCATCTCCCTAGCATCTATGCTAGTGGGCAGCCAGTCATTCTTGTGAACACAGGTTTAGCAGGGAGGTTGCTGGGAGGCCCACACTGGAGTTCTGGGCTTCCTGGCACTTGAGTCCTGAGCCTGCTCTGAGAACTGCTAGGCATCCCAGGTAGTGTAATTTGTGCCCTGGCACAACATAAGAGAAACGATGGAGGTCCTGGCTTTGCTGGGGCTATTAGGAACTGAGTCTGTCTGCACAGGTGCCTTACTTACCTTGAGGACTTTCTTAATGCCGTTGATGGTGGAGCTCAGCAATGAGTGTACCTTGAGGTCATCGTTGGTGTAATCCGCATGCCTGATGCACATGTAGAGGATGTATGCAGGCAGACAGGGCACAGTGCCCGACAGCATCTGGGGCTTCAGGTCTAACAGCAATAACATGTGGGTTAGTGCTACTGGGCAACACTCTGAAGGTCAGAGTCCTGCCTCAAAGGGAAATGTTTGCATTATTTCCCTGTGACTCACCTAGGAATCCACTTCTTACAGGGATTCAAAGAGGGATAAGATAGACCGTGGTAGTTTGACAACTCTATGGACTCATGTGTCTGAACACTTAGTCCCCAGCTGCTGGTACTGTTTGGGGGCAGGGTTATGGAACCTTCAGAAGGTGAAGCCTTGCTAGCAGAAGTACATCTTTGAGGATTTATAGACTCCACCTACTTCCTGCTTCCTGTGTGCAATTGAAATGTGGTCAGCTGGTTTCCTGTTGGGGCACCTGTTGCCATGTCTTCCTTGCCTTTATGGCCTCTGTCCCTCAGGAACTGTAAGCCAAATAAACTCTTTTATGAGTTGCTTTGGGTTATGGTATCTTATCACAGCAACAAGATCACTGATGTAGACACAGGTCAAAAATTAAAAGTATGGCCTGGCCGGATATACTGGTATATGCCTTTAATCCCTGCACTCAGGTAGATGGATATCTATGAATTTTGAGGTCAGCCTGGTCTACAAAGAGAGTTTCAGGTCAGCCAAGGCTACAAAGAGAAACCCTGTCACGAAACAAAGCAAAAGAACATATTACATTCCTAGGTGCTTGTATTGGAGCAGTAAAATAAATAGGCCCCCAGTGACTTATCTGCCACATGAAGGAAAGGACCACCAGGTAGAGACTCATGCCATGGTCCCCAGGAAGGGGCTTTCACCTAGAGGCAGGATATAAGCTTGCTCATGCAATGGGGTGAGAATACCTCCATTTCTTGGTACCCTAACTTTTAACTAGGTCCAATGGGTTCTTTGAATTGAAGATCAGTATCAGGAGAATTTAGCAGTATCATATCTCATAGAATATCATGTTCCCAGAGATAGCCAGTTAGCTGAGGGCTGAGAAGGCTGGAATGACCTCTGGTCCATGGGTGTGCTGTTTAGTTATTTTGTCACCTTATACAAGTGGAAAGAAAGCACTACAATTGAGAAAATGCCTCCATAAGCGAGACCTGTAGGTGAGCTGGTAGGGCATTTTCTTGATTAATGGTTGATGCAGGAGGGTCCACAACACTGTGGGCAGTGCCACTCTTAGGCAGGAATTCCGGATGGTATTATAGAAATCAGGCTGAGTAAGCCACAGGGAGCAAGCCAGTAAGCAGCACCCCTCCATGTCCTCTGTATCAGCTCCTGTTTCCAGGTTTCTGCTTTGACTTCTCTTCATGATGGAGTGTGATGGGAATGGTCATGGTTCACTACAGCAACAAAAGTCAAACTTGAACAGTGGAGCTGTCAGTTTGGAATGACTCCCTCAGCACAGACCCTGAGGTTGCACAGCTGAACTGTCCAGCAGCCCACTGCCACTCTGCCTTCTACTCAACATGCCATTTTGTCCAGCTGCTGTCTTCTACCCCTTTCCCTTTCTTAGACTGTCACTCTATGAACTCCATGCTGGCACTCAAACTCCCTGCCCCTCCCTCCTAATACTCCTGAGAAGGTGTCATATGGATTATGGTGTCCTGGGTGCAAGGAGCCAGATTTAAAGTGATGAGTAATGGTAAGAAACCAGGGCAGTGGGAAGTCAGGAGATGGGTGAGAAAGTGCCCCAGCACCTCACTGTGGCTGTCTGTATCCTAGTTCTCAGCCTCCAGTCTCAGTACACTATCCAATCCAAGCCCCCAAAGCCTTCTGGGCTTGGAACTCACAAATGGGGAGGGCTCCCAGGCTCCCATCCTCTGCCAGGGACCAACAGGGTCAAGTCATCTGTCAAGGCTGATGAGGGTTGGGTTGGGCTGGGCTGCAAGTATCTTCAGTTGATTTACAGGTTACATCCTTCTAGTTAGTGTTACAGTCCTAACACTCTGCACTCTGGCATGTTCTAGGTTCTAGGCTATACATTGGATCTTGGTTCTAATTAGAATGCCAGCAGTCTCCATCCAGGAAAAAAAATGCATTTCATAGGCCCATGCTTCCAATTTCTAACATCTTACTTCAAGCTTTTCCCCATGTGCAGATTTTAAGCAGCTTGCCTTACCTTGGAATTTTCTACTGTAGCTCACTTCTGTTTCTAGGCAGATGTTAGCATTTCATAGGGTGGGAATTACAACTCTACTTTCTTCTCTTCTCTGAAGCAACTAGCCAGTGATGGGTTCCTAAGAGGTGGTCCTTCTATGCATATAGGGTCTCTTAAAGGCAGATGATGAGGCACTCTTCCTTGCTATCTGGGTAGGAGATGATTGCCTAGAGCCATCTCAGCAATAAGAGCAGTAAAGAGACCCTTGACTCACTCTTACTTATGTTATAAAATTTAGAGTCCTATTTACTTAGTCAGGTAACTCCAATGTTGTAAACTTTCTGATTCATGTTCACCACAGAGTCATCTTTATAAGGAGCATGACAGTCACTAACAAGCTACTAAAATGTCCAAATCAAACAACCAAAGGACAACCATGCAGAGATTACATTCTGTTTCTCCTGTGCTCTTGGCCTGGGAGCATCTCAGCAGAGGTCCCACTGCCCTGCAGTGACCTCTTCTGGGGTAATGTTTACCTGGAGCTCTGACTCCTTATGTAAGAAAGCCCTGCATTGCATCCAGTTTCCTCCCTGGCTCTATTTCAGATGCTGGGGTAGGCGGGGTCAGTCCTACCATCTGATTGACAGAAGGGGACACTATAGTACCACAGAGAAGAGCCAGTGGTGTAAGACTAGAGGATCAGACTACTAAAGGACCCTCCTTTTGTCCATCAGGACTCTTTTCTCTTAAGATTTTCCTCCTGGTTCTGCAGGAAGCTGATGGGCTGGACAGAGAATAAAAGGGCTTGTTGAAGGCAGATGAGGCTGAGAGAAGATAGGAAGGGGATCAGACCAGAGTTAGTGAGGAAAGTGGCTCCCAGGAGTTCTGTATTCCCTCCCTGAAGGCGGGCAGCATCCACTATTGGCCACAGAGAACTATCTTGACATAAACCTCAACAATCTGCAAACATGACTCAGACCCCCTAACTAAGCATCCCTGAAGAGTGACTCCATAGGCAGGAGGTTCCCCTCTAACTTAATAGGAAAACCTCTTCTCTTTTCAGAGCTGTAGGGGCTAGAAAGTGGGTAGCAGGTGTTTTAGTCCTGAGGACCAAGCTGGGAGGAGTTTACCTTTTCCAGAGCTGCTGAAGCTTCTAGGCCACTACTGAGCTTCTAACCCTTACCCTGCCGCATACAATGTCAATGTGAGGGTGTCCAAACCCTGGAATGGGAGTTACAGACAGTTGTGAGTTACCATGTGGGTGCTGGGAATTGGACCTGGGTCCTCTGGAAGAGCAGCCAGTGCTCTAAACTGCTGAGCTACCTCTTCAGCCTGGTGTTACAGGTTTTATCACCTTCTCAGGTCACACACAAGGACACTGGCCCTCGACTACATGGCTTGTGAGGAAGGGGGCAAGTTTATACATAGGTTGTCCAGTTCTAAAGTCCACACTCACATGTGCTGGATTGCACAGTACTACAAACTGTAAATAGAAGGATTAGAACCCACGACCCACTATTTATCCCTTATGTGATCTGAACAAGTTACAAGAATGATTTCAGTATTCTCCAAGATAAAGCCAGGGTTTGTATAGTGCTGACTGATATAGATGAGGGGAAAATTAAACAAACAAGGAGGGTACAGCATTTGGCACAGTTGCTGACAAGCCTGCGCTGCTTGTCCCACTATTGCCAAAGCACCATGGCCCACCCTCAACTTCCTCAGAGAAAGAAGAGGTGCAGCAGCCACCATGGAGAAGCAATGTGGTGGGCAGGAGCCATGTGGCCCCTGGCAGAACAGAGCCCCCACTCCCCTTCCCAGTGCTGACGCAAGGCTATAGAGGTGGGATTTTGAAGAGGCAGAAGGGGAGCATAGAGCAGCTGGAGATGGTCAGCCTGAGGTGGAGGAGGGCATTAAGAAGATCTACAGGGGAGATGAGAGGGTTGGGGGTGAATAGAATTGGGAGAGGAAGGAGGGCTGGCAGGTGGCATGCCACTGTAGATCCTGACCTGTCACCAGGTTCCTGATGAGGAGAGCCTCGTCCTCTTTGTGGTACTCCAGCATGCCTTGGAAGTCTTTCTCTTTTCGCTGGACCGTGACCTGTCTTGTGAGTTCATGGTGCCTCCTGTCACTCTGTGCCAAGGCCTGGGCAGCTGAATGGGACAGAGATGACAGAAACATGGTGAGAACATGCAGCTGACGATGTCTCAGCCTGGGGATCATGCTCAGGGAACTGGGACACCCATACTTTATGTAGCCTGTTCCTGCAGCCTGAACCCTCTGTTTCTGTGGGTCAAGGACCTTAGCACATGTATGGAGGGTTGCTGTAGACAAGGGGAGGAGAATATCCAAGAGGGAAATGGATAGGTTTTGACCAGAGAAAATATGAGAAGTGGTTGCTGTCATGTTCAGCCTTCCCTGCTGATAAGTCCTTCTCTCCTCCTACCAAGATGTAAGGAAGGTCCCCGAGTCTGGGAAGAGAGCCAGCCAAGCCGGTTCTACCCAGTTCCCATGTGTACACAGCACTGGCCATCATGACACTATGATAGTACATTTGTGAGCTGGCCAGGGGAGCAGTTGGTGTCAGTGGGGCAGAAACACTATACCTAGCATCTAAATGTAGTGTGAGCCTATGTAAGCACCACTATCTGGGAGACATCTTAGTGGTACCCGTCAGGGTATCAAGGACTTATTAAACTCTACTCAGATCTTTCCCCCAGACCAGGGGAGGATAACAGACTCCAAAAATTTATTCATTGCACACCGGGGGACCAACAGTATGAAAGTATTGCCATCAGCCAGGACAGATGTGAAGTTCTCAATTTTGTCCCCACTAGTCTAGCTGAGGAGATGCATTTTGCACGGAAAAACACTTGGCAATGCAGTTTGGCCAGGTTGCAGGCCAGGAGTGTGTATCATGGGTGCTGGTGGAGACAGAACACTGAGAAGGATGAAGATGGAGATCTGAGACATGAAGGGCCTCAGGGCTACAAGGAGGGTGGCACTCGCTCAGAGAGCACAACAGTTACAGTTACAGGACTTTAGGAAAGTGATTAGCCTTCTGTCTGCCCCTCCCTCTGGGCTAGACTCCAAACTGGGAGTTTAAGTGTAACATCCATGGCATGGGGTGAGAGCCATAGGTCTTCGTGACACAGTGTTCTTTCAGACCAGAAAGCCTTGCCTCTGGCTCTATGTCTTCCAAAAGCAGCTCACTATGAACCTGTGTGTCACTCCTCCAGCCTGCAGAACCTGGCTCATACCCACTCAAGCAGCTCTCTCTGCCTGCTGAGATGTGAGCTCCCAGGAAGATGAATTCTTCCATGACAGGGCTGGAGAAGGATCAGCCACCAGAAAACTGATGAAGGGGGCCGTGGACTGAAGTCCCACAGGCTGGCAAAGTCACCTCTGCCTCATGCACACACTCAGGTACATACTCTTGCACACCCAGGCACACTACCTTCTAAGTCCTGGGCTTTCTTCATGTAAATCTTCAGCTGCTTTTTCAGCTTCCTCTCATTCTTTTCCAGCTTCTCTACCAATTCCTTAAAATCCTGAAAGCACAAGGGAGCCGCATGAGCACAGGGTGTTGGCCTCACACTGAAGGAAATGGAAAACTCTTGCCAGGAACAGAGGGGCTCAAGAAGGCCAAGGAGCCCCACTCAGGTGGGGGAAGAAGGGCTGTCTCACACTGGCTCAGCACCTGCTCAGAGCTCAGGAAGGGCTATGAGTCAGAGTTCATTGTGCCAGCAACAACAGGCTGAACTCCTCCCAGGGCGAATTCCTCCCACTGGGACACTCTGGCGCCTTGTGGAATCCTAGGGCTCCCTAAGTCAAGCCTCCTCAGAGGGCACCCAGCCTAGGTGTCCATGGGAGTGTTGAGCAGCACTCTGGGTGGAGGTATGGTAAAGCAGGCATAGAGCTGGAAGGGTCAGCAAGCCAAACGGACTTCTGGGATTGGAAGCCAAACAGGACAGGAGTGGTGGCCTCAGTCCCTAGCAACCGTTGCCACTGGAAGCGAGTCAGTCCATTGGGACCTAGAGCAGTAAGCTGTCCAGGGAAGGACTTTGCAATCATTGTTATCCTCATCCAGATGGGAGGTGGCTCTTTGAGGTAGGGAAGGGAAAGGAGCCCTGCTTTCACCATTGGAGCCAAGCCTAGGTAACCAGAGCCATGGAAGGGAGAAGCAAGCACTTCATCCCACCCCATGTGTGTTACAGGGTATAGAACCCAGGGCTAGATATGTGCTAAGGAGTGCTCTACCACTAAGATAGAAGCTTTACCTTAGAATTCAAGGCTTGGATGACATTTTTTTAAAAGGATTTATTTTATTTTTATGTGTATGTGTGTCTTTGAGTGCTGTGCTGTGTAGCAGTGAACTTGTAGTGGTGGCCACAGCCTTTGGGCGTGGTTTCAGGTGCAGATGAGAGCCTTTATAAGGTAGAGGAGGGGCTGGCTTGTGCTCTCTTGGGTTCCGGAGAGCATGGGAAGGGCAGAGACTGAATCTTCTGGAGCAGGAAGATGGTGCAGGTCTTTTACTTTTATCTGTGTGAGTCCTTCCCTAATAAACACCTATTTATCATTTGTCTTGGGTCTGGTGTTTTGAGGGACTTCATTTTCATTTAAAAGGGGAAGAGGCTGGCAAGGTGGCTCAGCAGGCACTGCTTCCAAACTTGTTTGGTCCCCAGAACCTACATGGTGGAGAGAACCGACTCCTGGAAGCTTTCCTCCAACCCTCCATACGTGTGTGCTAGGATTCCACAAAAGTAAACAAACAAGCAAACAAACAAATTGACAGATAGTACAAACATCTAAAAAACCTCCTCAGGTTGAGGGGCATTTAAATGTTTACCTAGTTCAAAGGATGGGGGTGATAGCACAGACAGGTGGGGAAGGGAGAGGGGAGGGGCAAGGGAGGGAGGAGGAAAGGAGGGGGAGAACAGATCAGAGATTCTGCAAGAAGCCAATTGGTACAAAGGACTTAAGTATCTTGAAAAACTTTAGTCAAGATTCTTAGGGGACAGATAAGGTCTCCTGTTATCTTAATCACTGTTTTATTGCTGTGAAGTGACACACTGACAAAGGCAACTCATAAAAGAAAACATTTAATTGGAATCTGGCTTACTGTTTCACAGTCTTAGTCTATTATCATCAGGGCAGGGAGTGTGACAGCACACAGGCAGGTGCTTGAATAGTAGCAGAGAGCTACATCCTGACCCACAGGATGAGAGAGACACTGGGCTTGGCATGGGCTTTTCAAACCTCAAAGCCCACTCCCAGTGACACACACTCTCCAACAAGGCTGCACCTCCAAATCCTCTTAATCTTTTCAAATACTGCCATTCCCTGGTAACTAAGTATTCAAATCTATGAGCCTATGGGAGTCATTCTTATTCCAACCACCACACCTGTGAGCCCTTGGGTTTCTTCCTACCCCATCTCATTCATCGCATTGACTAAGCCAATTCACTGAATGAGGAATGTTGCAGACCCAGTCAAGGTTCTGGTACTGCAACTTTCAGCCACGAATGTGACATTACCAAGTCTGGAAGACAAAACTGTGCTTGTGTTTCCCCATAATTGTTCTTAACAAACTTTCACAAAACCCAGGGGGATAATTAACGAATTCTGTGACACCTGTGTGCAAGTGTCACCAGATACTTCTTCAAGGAAGGGTAAAGTCCAACATTCAGGCTGCAGCAACCATTCTATTTTAAGGCACAGACTCCACAGCAGCCTCTGCGGAGGAGCCTGGAAAAGGTACCCCTCCACACGAATTGCTCCCACAGTTGCTGACTGCTACCCATGGTGCTGCATCTTGTCTGCCAGCTCTTTAGGTTAACAGCCCTCATTTAAAATGCGAGGAGCCTTCTCCTTAACATGCTAAGCAGCATCATGTAAAGCTGTGCTCCCCACACTTACAGTGCCCTGGAGCCAACTGGGAGTTTTTAAAGCCCAAGCTCAGCAAACTCAGGATAAATTATGGCTACACTAAAGCTGGCAAACTTGGGGGGGCTACTATTGAGGTCTAAAGCCACAAAGGTCACAGTGATGGTGATTAAAGGACCAAATTAACCCAAGAGAAATCTTGGCATCGGAAGTTGAGTGTATCTGAAGACATCTCTAGTGAGATGCTATGGGGGCAATGACATCTTTACACTACCCACAAGCCTCCTTGACCTCTTCAGCCAGAATTGCCCTGAATTCCTATACATTTAGCTCTTGAAGTTCCCAGCATGCTGTGTTGTGATCAGTTGTATACACATGTTCACCTTCTTGCCCAGTGCCCATGATTCATCTAGCACATAGCTGGTATAGATACTTGCTGACAATGGGGACGCAAAACACAAATAGTTCATAAAATGTGCTATACATTGGCTCTGCTTCTGGGTCACAATCCCAGACCATGTGGTACAAGTCTTCCCAAAGGTGGCCAACTGTAGTCTTCTTGTTCCTCTCCTCATCTTCACAGACCCAGAATTTTGGGCTCCTACACATGTCAAGGTTCACATGGGCAGATGGGCCTATGATACAATCTTTCCACATAGTTTCTTCTCAATGTGGGATTGTCCACTGTCTCTCCTAGGCTGCAGCTGAATACAGCACCTCTATGTCATACAGCTCTTTTTGCTAGCTGATCACCCACAACATCATGTCCAGTGGCCCTCCAGGAAGCATAGACCAGCAAATACATTTTCTAGGCTGTCTTTAATCTACTGGAAGCTGGCTCAACAACTTACTTTTTTTTATTTGGTTTTTAGTTATATACAAAAGTAGGTTTCATGACATTTTCACATATGTATATTATTGCCGACAATGTATATATTTCCATGCATCAGGCCAATTGTCTATAGTAATAAGAGCATATAATAGGGGAAAGAAAAGGAGGTATGTGTGAATCCCAAACCTCACCCTCCTCTCTTTGGATTGGCCTGAACCCAGGCTTCCTGGTCATCGGGGCAATGGTGGCCCAGCTGGGCAGGGCTGGGAGCCCTGCCGGGGTGTGTCCCCTGACAATCAGGATTGAGTACCTCCTACTCTTCCCTCATAGGTACCCTGCCCCAAAAGACATGTGAGCCCCACTTTTGTTCTTTTCCTCCATAAATCCTGTCTCCAACTTCTCCTTTTTCTTTAATATGCGTTGCTAATGCCACGGAGAACCATGTTTTTACGAATACCGTCTTCCTTCTGCCCTTCAATCGCCTTCCTTCTGGCCTGTAGTTCTCACAGGGTACACACTCTCCCACCATTCTAATAGCTTCCAGGGCCACCAAAGATAGCCACCAACTACTTCTGCTCCCATCAAGGGACAAGTATATCCCTACTATATCCAGCTGAACTGTGGTATTTGTCCTGGTCACTTAGCATGGGGCAGAAGTGATGTCATACTGGTCCTAGGAATAATGGTTTAGGAGCCCTATGGCTCCTGCTTGATCTTCTTGGAAGCCAGTGCCACTAACATCTCAGGCTAGTGCCACATACAGCATCTCAGGCTAGGCTAGGAAATAAGACAGCATATGAGAGAAACTTCATGGAGAAAGACCAAAGTCCAGACACCAGATAAAGCTATATTAGGTCTTCCAGCTCCACGTGGAGCATAGGCAAGCTGTCCCCATTAGGATCTGCCAGCATCCCCAACCTGCACGTGGATGTTGCCATTTTAATACATCAAGTCCTACTTCAGAGCTAAGGATATGAGCCTTGCCCGTCTGGCAGCTCCTAATCCTATCCCATATATAAGTGATTCAAGAGCTATAATCCATGAGGCACAGCCACTTACCAGGTTCTCATTGGTCAGGCGAGATATCTCCTGCTGGACACCAAATTCCACCTGGGCCTCTGGGGAGAGCAGCAGGGTCTGGCAGAAGGTCTGCTGCTGCTTGTCCATCTCCTCCTTCAGGGCCTCTACCTGGGCCTTGAGACGCTCCACCTCCTCCTCATGCTCCAGGCTCTGGGCCTGCAGCTGAGCCTCCAGCAACCTGCACCCAGGAAAGCAGGTCAGGTCACCATGTGGCTGGGGTGAGCATGCACAGTGAGGGGCCGCAGGCAGACACAACAGAGGGGTAGCCAAGTGCATAGCAGGAGCAACCATATGGCCCCAACATGAATGAACGCAGTGGGGAGGTAGGTATCAACAGGCAAGCAAACTGACTTGCCATCCTCTCAGATGACCATAAACCAAGGCCAAAGGCACCCTTGAGTTTAGGCTTCTTTTGCCACCCTCACCCCCCCACCCTCACATGGGCACAGACTACTGGTTTGGGATTGAGAGGTTGTCTCCATGACAACATGCCATTAACACTGATAAATGACTCATAATGTTCTTTAAATAGTGACATCAACATCTGCTCCAAAATTTGTAAGAATGTCCTTATAAAGGCAAAATACTAATAAACAACACTAATTATATTAGTTTATTTTCCTTTCTTTCTTCTTCTTCTGAAGAGCTAATGTTTTGCTTTTCATTTCCTTTATTGTTCTACTTTATATGTCATCTTTTACAAAATTCCCTCTGGTCTAAACAGCTAAGACTATTTGGGGGGATGTGCCATAAGAAACAAAGATCCTGAGGAAGCTTGGGGAGGCTGGAGAGAAGGCGCAGAGATTTCTAAGAGGCTCATGGCTAGGGCACCAGGTACCCAAGGGGAGCACCTGCCTGCTTTAGCAGAGGTAGGGGTCGGTAGCTCAGCAGCAGCCTCAGCTTGGATCTGACCCTGACAGGACCAGATGCAACAGGGGCATCTCCTGGGACTTCAGTCACCGGATCTAGTTTTCTGATCTAGTTAGCTACCTTCAGCAAAAAGGGACATGGCTGGTGGGGTTCTGAAGGACACGGTCCCCCCCAGTCTTTTCCTGATCCTTAGTAAAGATTCTGCCCAGGGTGGTGCCCAGGGACATCTCCTGGAGTCCAGATGGCAAGGAACAGGCAGGCACCATGGGATTGCTGTTCTGCTGGTTTAGGAGCTAACTACCATAGGGAAGGGGAATAGTGAGAAAGAGGAAGTCTGTTGTGTTGGCAGAAGCAGCCACATTTTAGGCATCCAAGTCAGCTCTTTAGGCTGGTATATGTATGTAAGGGCTTCTCAGCAGCGTGATGCAAATGAACGAGAAAAACGATGAAGGGATTTGCCTACCACTACAGGCCTATTATCAATGAAAAACAATAGTAACTTTAGTACTTTGGTAAAGAAACCAAAATTTCAGCTTGCACACAGTATTCAGACAACATTCAGCATTGGCTACTACACACTTAAAACTTCATTAGCATAAGATGTAAAGTTAACAGGAAGAGGACATGGACCTTTTGGTTCTAGGGAGTTGTGCTAGGACCTCTTTATAACCTGCTACGTGTCCCCTGCTTGCATCTGCCTTACTCTCAAGTAGATTCAGCTCAGGACTCTATACCAGGAGTAAGATTCCTATTGAAGCGTCTGAAAGATCTCCTGAAGCCCAGATCCTGTGTGTTATTTTCTAATGCATTTGCTTGAGTTTTCTTTGTACCACATCCAATCTCATGATGGACATGAGGAGTGCCCTAGAAATGCACACATGGATTCCCACTTTGACTGGTAGAACTCTGACCATCACAGTAGAAACAGCACCTAATGCTTCTGTATTTTCTACATATGTAAAACTTTGCCTGGAATGAACCTTTTCCTTATGGTGGCCCTGTGTGCCAGGGCCTGCTCCAATCCACCATTTGACAATAAGAAACCTTGACCACATCCCCTGCTCAAGTTATGGGGCTCAGCAAAGGCTGCAGCACTAGATTTGCTGCTCCCTTCACTGCCATGTAGGAACCTTCACCATCTTACCAGCAGCAGCAGGGAGAGGGCGGTGGCAGGTCTAAGCTGAGGTATGGACACCACCCAGTCACCCAGTCGCTGAGGGAGCCAGGCCTCACACTCATCCACCTCTCTGAACTACTTTCCTCTTTTGAGAAGCTAGCCCTGATGACTACCACCACATATCTTGTCGAGAACAAAAGAACAAAGTTTTGCTTCTCTAAAAGTCACAGCAAATATAGCAGGCCATTGTGCCATTGTCATTCTGCATATGCTCCTGGTTAAACTGTTCACCCATTGCTGAAGATGGATGGGGTCAGCTTTGGTACTGATATCAAATGTTGGACTGTCTACTGAACCAGGACTCAACCACTCCCCTAACCCTGCCCCATTGCACTCACAAGGATGCTGTGAGGGTCAGATAGCACAACATACCTGCAGCACCAGCTGTTGGGACTGGGACTAGCTACATGCTGATAGCATGTACTAAGGAGTCTTGCATTTGCAGCACAGCCAGCATGCAAACTAGGTCAAGGATTGTGGCTAACCCAGAAGGGTAAGAAGGTTGGCATGTAGCATATCAGTAGCATGGGCCCTGGAGCCCTACAACCAAGTTTTCTTTGCAGTTTTTTTCTCAATAGTTGTGTGATTTCTGCTACAGAAACCCTGCTTTTCTCCACCTATAGAAAGAAGAGTTGGGTCACCTAGTGCCACCATCTTGACCTAGGCAAGCAGCTTCTGCTGATATCATTGTGTCTTCCCAGACACAAATGACTAATGAACATCATAGGGGCTGCTAGACAGAAGCTCTTGTGAATCGTGCCTCATACTCTCGCAGTTGCTCAGGCCAAAACAAGGAACATAGACATGAGCAGGCACATAGATGAAGCACACACAAGACAGGAACATGTTTGACCTGGCAACTTGCTTTAGGCCTTGGTAAGCCAAGCCGAGTTCTCCATCTTCATTCAAATATCCCCAATCCTCAGTCTTGCTAGAAATAAAGTATAGAAAGAGAGGGTGTCCAATGGAGAGGAGAGAAGCATTCAAAAAGACTGGAAAGCTTACAGGCAAGGCTTGGAGTCAAGAAGACAGTACAGACTGCAATTGTTTCCCACACTTCTCTCTGGCTCCCAAACTCTAGGTGCTTCCAGACAGCATCCTCCTTATCTCCCAGGTTTCAGGTACTGTCTGGGAAAGAGGTTCATGTGGTTTTACAGAGATCCACCAACAGCTGCAGATCAGGGACATATTGCCAAAGGCCAATGAACTGTACTTGTTCCAGTAACTCTACAAAGAACAGTCACATAGGCTGGGCCATGGCACTTCCATGTCTCATACCCACCATGTTTCCTTCCATCTGAAGAAGTTGAAAGAACAGGGAGACAAGCCTAAACAGGGTCTGAAGAGAAGACACGAAATGTGCATATGGCGCCACAGGGGCTGAGCAGGCCCTTACAGTATGGAGGATGTTGCACCACAGAGAGGCAGGTGAGGCACCAAGGGGATGCTGGCCTCTGCCAGGGTAAAGAAAGAGATTGCACATTTTGCTTCCCTTTCCATTCACAACTTTCTGCTATTCTCTAAGAACATGTATTTGTTTACTAACCTTAACTCCAGCTTTCTTTATAGAAATACATGTGTGCATGTGATTAAAGTTAACTGCAACAACCTTACAGGCTCAGAATCAAATGATGTCTTCCCTTGACTTAAGTTACATACCATTTCCCTGTCCAGTCAACCTGTGAAAGCAGATTCCTGCTTCTATCTGTTGGTATCTTCTAATGGTCATGTTATCTGCCTGAGGTCAGCCAAGGTGGCTCTTGGAGGTCATTGTGCCCAGTGTTCTTATCCCACCTCACAAAGTCCTGGGCACAAGGGTGTCTTTAAAGGCCAGTGGGATAGCAGATGGAGGGCATGAATCATGCAGCAGGAGTTAGTTTACACAGCCTAAAAGAAAGGGCATTCAACCCATCCCAGAACCCAGACAGTAAACCAAATAGCCCTGGTCAAGCAAACTACTGTCTTGCTTTGTCATGTTTTGAATAAAGTAGGGGCTGAAAGTATCCATTTCAGATCCTTCCAGAGCTAGGCTCTAGTAGAAAGCCCCAGACCTGCTTACACAGACTGCTTCTACAGCTGCAGTGCCCAATCTGTACCACACCCTGAAAGTCCACTTCTGGGACCTTTCTATGGCTTCTGTTCCTAGTCTATGGCCAACACTTAGTGTTAGAGGTCCCCATCTGTGTGGCAGGGCAGTGAGGAGGACTATTGCCAACAAGGTTACTTCGAGGAACACTTCTATCTAAGCCTTCTGCCTGGCAAATGTTTGGAACTTCACCAGTGTGGCGGTTTAGATGAGAATGGCCCTCATAGACTTATATGTTTTGAATATTTGGTCCCCAGTTGGTGGAAGTATTAGGGAAGGGTTAGGAGGTGGGCTTTGTTGGAGGAGGTGTGTTACTGAGGGTGGGCTTTGAGGTCTCCAGGGACTTTACAATTCTCAGTATTTCTCTCTCTGCCTTGTGTGTCTAGACCAGGATGTAGGCTCTCAGCTACCACTCCAGCACCATGCTGCCATGATCCTCACCATGATGCTTATGGCCTCTAACTCTCTCAAAGCATAAGTCCCAAATTATCTTTTCTATTAATGGTCTTGGCCACAGCCCCCTATCAACAGCAATGGAAAAGTAACTAAGACAGCCAGATACAGCTTTCTCTTTCCATGCCCAGTGGTTAGGTGTCCTGGGTAATCCACATGTCCCAGAAAATCCATAAGGACCTAAGGCTGTGTTGAGCAGGGGCTGATATCTGCACCTCCTGTTCTCAGATGTTGAGGCTTGAATCTCCCTAGGGTCATTTGTAGCAATTATTTACTCCAAAGGAGGCCCTGGGACTGTAGGAGTTCTTGGAAGTGCCCAGCAAGTGTGCACCAGTACTGAAAAGAGATAAAGGCCAGCATGCTGTACTCTAGCCATTCCTTCCACGACAAGTAGAGGCATGGCTGGACCTCTGGGATGGGAGTGTCTCCCAATCTTTTGAAGCTTCCCCAGCCTCACTGGCTGATCTTTTGAGAAGGACTGCTGGGTCTCTGAAAGAACATTTCCTCACTTCTGTAATTGTCATACTTTCCGAGTGGCACACGGATGATGCCCAGACATACTTCTTGAAAGTTAGCATCAGTCCCATTGTTTCTAATTTCACAGGGAATTAGAGTTCTGACTTCTGTCACCTGCTGGGGATCATGTAGAAAGGTAAAAGGTAATAATGTACAGCCCAGACACTCAGCATCAAAATGTGAAAACAGTCACATGAATGAATTAAGAAACTAATGAACCAACTCAGGACAACTGAGGCTTTTGCTCCTAGGAGAAACAAACCCAAAGTACCAGAGTCTCAGACTCTTTCCCTCCTATGCTTGGGAGTGTGGCTGGGGAGGGAGTGACACCTGCTGGTGTGAAGAGAAAAAACCAAACAGCTCAGCTCCAGGAAATCAACTAATATTCACAGATTGCCCTGTGCATAGGCTCACCCGCAGTGGCTAAATACAAAGGAAGGGGCAGCAAGGCCGTCCTTCTGTACTCTCTGACCTGATTTTCCATGGGTTAGGTTAACATAGTGAGCTAGATGACCTCAGAAGTATTTTCTAGTAGCTGCAGAGGTCATGCAACAGAAATGGCTTCAGAAAGGATGCACATCCCTCTGCAGACCTTGGAAAATAGGATCAAGCAACCATACTCCATCATATACCAAGGCATGTTGAGGCTGGTCAGTACCTTGTGTGCAGGAAGATCCCTCTGTGCTCTATGGGCACTAACTTCTTTAGCTCATACTGAATTTTCTATCAGCGGCCCAGGAGCTTGGCTGGGGCCTCTGAGAAGTAGATCAGGAGAACAGACAGAGGGAGAAAGAGGCCACATGAGGGGAGAAGCTGCCTTCAGAGCTGGGCTCTGTCTAGGTGCACCTGTATCTCCAAGAATTGGCACCTCCAGGGGCACAACTCTAGACAAAGGCAGTAAAGTTTTTCTGTGCTGAGGTCTCCTGCTGTTTCCTGGGTCCCAAGGACAGAGCCAACAATGCACTCTGACTTGCTGTGGAAGACTTCCACAACCTTGACAGGGCTCTGGTGGAAGGGGTCAGAGGAGTACTAAGGAGTACTGAGCCCCGGCCACACTCTGCATCCAAGTGCTAAGCCAGCTCAATGACCTGGAGGGCCTGCCTAGGGAATGCTGTCCTTGGGGGTGGGGGGTGGCAGTAGATTCTCTCCCAGGCCACATCTCCATCCCAGAGCCAGCTGGGAAAGGATGGTAGACTTCTGGCTCTAAGCTTGACTTCCATGGCTATTTCTTTTCCTCAGCTTTGCTGTAAGTAAAGCAGTCAGAACAATGCTGGCAGCTCTTAGGTCCCAAGATGGCAGCATGAGTTTGCAGAAACAGAAGAGGGAGTGTCTCACACTCTGGAAGATCTGGCCAAAGCAGGCCTCAGTACTGCTTTCCCACAGGCTCTCTGTGCAGGGAGACCCTAGACAGCAGGCTCCTCTCAAGGGAGACCCTAGACGGCAGGCTCTCCACAGTGCAGGGGAGATGCTTGCCTGCAGGCTCACAGTGCAGGGGAGACACAGAACAGGTGGGATCTCTCTGCACATCTCAACAGACCATGGGAATTCAGCAAGTGGGAAGAGTGCTAAACCTGGGGGACTGCACATGGGACTGAAGTGTAGCTGGAATCTTCTCATAATTCTAGCCTGAACTCAGGATATGCACACAATACATATTCTAGGTACAGATTTCATCAAAATTCTAAGGGACCCACCCAACCTCATGTGCATGTAAAGCTCTCCCTTGTAGGCCAACCACAGGAAAGGCACAGCAAATCTCCATCTTCACAGCACCCTTGTCATAAGGAGGTGTCTATCTGGGCTCCCAGAATCACATCATGGCCTAATTCCCCTTCATTGCCAGTCAATCCAGCTGCTTTTCCTCTTAATGCTCGGATTTGCAGCAAGCACAAAACTTTCTCAAAGCTGAGGCTGGAACTAAACTGAAGGAGACAAACTTGTGCAGTGCCTAATGTGGCAGATACTGAGGACCTGGGTCCCCCAACTTCTCCTCCTCTAGGCAACTGCTCTTTTCTTAAGTCAGGTTCTCAGCTATTAGTTCACTATTGCTTGCTGAGTTTTCTGAGCAGGGACTGATTGTAAGATATAGTAAAGGCTATTTCTGTCTCCTTGTCTCCATTGTTATTGAGGTAAGATGACAAAATCTGGGCACTGAGCAGCCCCTGTTAAGACCTAGATGGAGGACTGGACTCCTGACAACTAAGAAGTGAACAGAAAGAGGGCCAGGAACAATTTCGGTTCTAAAGATCAGAGCGATAAGCCCAGCATGGGCTGCCAGCTTGCTTTCTAATTTAATTTACTACCCATGCTCTTTTCACTCATGCTTCTCATTCCTTCTCTTCCACCCAAGAGAATTTAAGGTGACTGAATCTCACCTCCAGCTTTAGTGCAGGGAGTCATCTTCATTCCTTCTCTTTTTTTCTTTACGGAGAATTGGGGGCTGGCTACATCTCCCCCTCTGGTTTCCCATGCAGGGTGGGCATGGAGCAGTGCATCCTAGAAGCCCAGCCTCCTGGATTTTACCTTGGTTTGGCTCTAGGCAAGCTACCTGCCTAAAACTGCTTAATCCTTCTGGGCCTCAGCTTTCTCCTCTGCAGAAGATTGCAGCAGAAGATGTGGAAATCCCAAGTCTCAGAGGAAGCAAACCCAGGCTGTGCTTACAGCATGAGACCCTGGCTCTTTCTGAAGGGTTCACTGCTTCCAGAAATTTTAAACAAACACTTTTCACTGACAGGTTTCCAAAGGGCCTTCTCTTTCCAACAAATAATTCACTAAGGTTGTGCAGATGGTCAGTAACATGCTAGGCTAGACAATGGTCCCTCCTGTCACCAGACTGCCTACCACTTTCTCCAGGGACAGCTCTCAGAGGTGGGCCCTACCTGTTAGTCTGGCAGACCCCATGATAGGCCTCAATGGCATCTTCCTGGTCCACATGTTTTTCACTGTTGGGCCAACTTGTTCTGGAATTGATGTTTGGCTCCTAGAAGATACCAAATAAAAATTAATCTTGGTTGCACAATACCTAGGAAATGGCTTTCCAATATTGAGACATATAAATGTGCTTTTGGGAAGAGAGGAAGACCCAGAGAAACAGCCAGCTGCTGTTAGACGCAGGCAGGGGCAGGACTTCAAGGGGCCATCTTGGGTGGAAGGACAGCCTTAGCAGTGCCTGGTGAGGTATGAGAGCAAGTAGAGGGGAGACTGGACTGGATCCTGGGAGACGAGAGCACACACATCAGCGGACACCATCCAAGGCTCATTACTGAAGTACTTCATCCCCCAAGCCACCTAGGGCCCATGTCTACAGTGGTCCAGTCTATTAGAGCCCACTGGATGACTCCAGTTACCTCCCACTCTACAATCTGTCTTAGAAAGGTGAGAATACCAGAAACAAATCTGAAGGGGGCCCACTGCCCTGGAAGAGCTGATAGAGAAATACTTCCACAGACAAAATGAACAGCAAGGGGCATAACATGAAAAACAGCCACTAAGATTATTCCTGTCTTGTTTCTTTTGAACATTTTCTTAATTAAAAACCAAAACCAAAACAAAACAAACAACAACAACAAAAAATAACAAACAAAACAAAAAACAAACCAAATCATCCATGTGTCTGTTCATGTGAGTGCAGTGCCTATGGAGGCCAGAAGAGGGTGTCAGATACCCATGGAATTATAGGCAGTTGTGAGTTCCCTGATATGGGTGCCAGGGACTGAACTCTGCAAGGCCAGCGAAGTGCTTTTCATTGCAAAACCATCTCTCCAGCCTCCTTGATTAGTTTCTCAAGTTTAGTAAATTCTAGAAACTTCTAGCTCCATCTCTTGATCATGCAGGTCATGAAGAAAGGGCATTAAACTCCTGTTCTACTGTTAGAGACGTCAAAGATATGCAGACATTTTGCTCTTCAGGTTTAAGACTCCCCCCACCCCAAGTAAAGATACATAAAAACACAAACCTACAGGCTCAATGTCACCCCCAAGAAGAGCAACTGTGGCTGCCATCTCCTTACCATGTGCTTGCCAGACAGTCGGCGCTGGTCAGTGTTCATGATCTGGGTCCTGAGGATCAGCACCTCCTCTTTGCGGACCTCAAGCTCTTCATTAGCTAGCTTGAGCTGGTTCAGCAGGAGGCTGTAGCTATCTGGGGAGCTGTGGGTGGAGTTGTCCTGCATGGCTTGGTCAGCAACAGCTTTCCTCAGCTCATTGAGGTCGTTCTTCAGCTTTTTGTTCTCGGACTCAAGCTCTTGTCTCTGCAAGACAGCCAAGGGACACAGCTCACTGCTTTCTGGATCTTCAACAAGTCCCAGCTAGTCCATCTCTTCTCTTGCTTTAACTTTCCCTGTCTACCTGAAGAGCAACTTTCTGTTTTTAAAGAGCACATACATGGCTCAAGATCTGATGTCATCAGTGGTAAGTCAGAACTAGGGAGTAAACTCATCACCCCTAAGTTCTCAGAGAAATGTATCTCATACAATGGGTCTGTAGTATCCACTGGTGATTCAGTATATGTTCTAAGAAATTTGGCCATGAAATTTTTCTTTGTAGAAACGCTGGGCTGATAGCTCTGTGTGTGTGTGTGTGTGTGTGTGTGTGTGTGTGTGTGTGTGTGTGTGTGTATGCATGAATGCCTGCATGTTCATACATATGTAGTGCTGGAGATCAAAGCCAGAACAAGTTCTCTATCACCAAGCTGTGCCCCACCTCAAGCTGACAGTTGTAAGCAATACATTGTTTACAGGACTTCCTACAGCCATTATGTGTTCATATGTTCTGTGACTTTCTAAAAACTTTAAAAAGTGATATACTTGTTAGAGACACAAGGTGACTGAGCCAAATCCCACTGGGTAGAACCTCTATTATCTGAGCAAGAAGCCAAAGCAGAGTCTACAGAGGTGTAGGCCCATAGCAAATACTTGAACCAGGATAACAACATATATAAAATGACTGAATCTTGAAGGCGTTAATGTCATAAGAAGACAAATACTGTGAGTCTGCTAGAGTAGTGCATAGAGACAGGAAGTAGAATGGTACCTGACTGAGACTGTGGGGAGGGAGGAGTGGGAACTCTTCAGTGGAGTCAGGTTTTGTAAGATAAACAGAATTACAGGGATGAACTGCAATGAACCCCTTGCACATCATGAATGAATCCTCTATTGCCACCCCTCATAAACACTTAAACTTGTTGAGATAGTAAACGCTTTGCTATATGTATTTTACCACAGTGAAAAATAGTTGGGGGGGGGGGCGGTGTTGGAAGCCACAGAAGTGACTCAAGGCTGTTTTTTGTTTTTGTTTTTTTTTTTTTTTGAGCAATAGCTATGAACAAACTGTTGTTCTGTTGGGGACCAGCTGACTGTTGAAAGTGCCTCATCATAAAGTCTTTGGGAGGGAAGGGTCTCCCCTCCCTCCTCCTTGGGTCTGAAGCCTCCACTTTGCCCTCTCTGTTTGCCACACACAGAAACCCTCTGCCTTACATCTGGGTATCTTTCAAAGTGATTTTATTCCTGTGGCCACATTTTATTCTAGCTGGAGCCGTTTCAAGTAGGAGAGGCACGTGTTTCTTGGTATAAATACAAACTCCCCTTTATTTCAAAGATGAGGATGTGGAAGTGTAGAAATGCATTCACTTGCTTATTGCTCCACTGGCCTTTGGGACCCAGTTTCCTGAAGCCCGGCTCTGACATTTGCCTTATACTAGAGATCAGAGAGCCTTACCTTCAGACTGTTGTAGGCCAGATCTGCATCCTGGTCCACATCTATGCCATTGTTTTGTTGTTCCACCTGCATAGGAGGGACAGAACGGTAAGCACAAGCCACAGGGCGTGTGCTCAGCAGATGTTTTTTATGACAGCCACACTTTCTCATCCTGCTTTTGCATGAACAGCTGGCAACCTCACCCTCCACAGTTGTATTCCCCACCTCCTTCAAAAATAGGTTTGTGTAACACTGTGTCACGGCTTAAATTTTAAGTCCTAAATTCCTCTCCCTGTGAATGTGACCTCCTTTGGAAGAAGGGTCTCAGGAGATGTAATGGAGTCCTAATGCTATACAAGGAAAGGACACACAGACAAGATGGCAGGTCAAGAACATCAGAAACCAAGAGAAAGGAATGAGGTTAAGTCCTCCTCACTGCCTGAAGAAGACAGTCACAGTAAAACTGTCACTTCCGACTTCTGGAAGAAGACCTATTTGTTAATAAGTGGCCTATTTGGTGGTATTTTGTTTCAGCAACCCCAGCTGTAAAATCTGAATATTTGCTAGGAGTTGGTGGCACATGACTTTAATCCCAGCACTTGGCAGGCAGAGGCAGGTGGATATCTGTGAGTTCTGGGCCAGCCTGGTCTACAAAGTGAGTTCCAGGACAGGCTCTATAGCAATACAGAGAAACCCTGCCTTGAAAAACCAAAAAAGAAAAAGCAAACAAAACAAAACAAAACAAAACAAAAAGCCAAAAAACCTGAATATTGATACTATGCACATGTTTGGTGGTGGTGGTGGAGGGTGAACTCATGGGTCTATTTCCCAATTCAAAGCACCTTGTATTGCAGCCATTTCCTCTAGACACTCTAGCAAGGCAGCTGGCTCACAGTAGGTATGCAGTATGTAGAATGCCAAAGCTGGTGGCTCTGGGCAATAGTAACGGGAATAACAAGTCCACCAGGACTCAGGTTGGCCAAGGACTCTCATTCTGTGGCAGCCATTAGAGTTGAATTTACTGTTAAAAGGGGGGCACAAACAACTTTCTAAGCAGCCAATTGCTTGGAGTGAGTTTAATGTAGGGGGATTCATCTCTGAAGAGGATGGATTTTTAGAACTAAAACCCAATAGAGCACTTACAAGATTACCTAAGTCCTGGGAACCTGAAGTCCAAGTAAGGCTATCACTGCTGTGGTGCCTGGGGTTTAGAGTGAATGTCTCCTGCAACTGCCTCCAGACGAAGGATGTGTACATTTGTGGCACTGTTTCCTGCCCTGTAAGCTGGGGGAGAGCCTTGTCAAGGTACCAACTTCTGCCTTGGCTCCCTCCATCATCAGTGGTACAGGAGATATGAATGACCCAAGTTGGAGTCAGCAGTCCTGCTGCTAGGTAAGTGGCCTGCACTTACATTCTGTGTGGCACAGATTTGCCACACAACCCTCTAAATGTTGAATGCATTAGATTCTCAAAGAAAGAGGACCATGTAGTAATACCTCAAGGGCCATGTAAGTCATGTTTCCAAGTACACTGTCTGTCAGAGTCACTGTAGTTGATAAGGCAACTGTGCATGTCTGGGGGAAAGGGACTGCATAGATGGAGCAGTCTGATTAGCATCCACTTGAGGCTCCACTCTCACAGTGGCTTAGTCACACCACATGGATGGAACACCCCACATACACCCCAGTCAGGCTGTATTGAGTGCATGGCCTCTAAGGCTGGGGACCTAGGTTATATCTCTTCAGAAGATTCCTTCTGAAACTAAGGAAAGCCCCAGAACTTGATCTCTGGAAGTCTAATCTCAGGGGATAATAGAGGGTCCATATTATTTCCTGCGATATCCCTGTGGGCAACAACACACAGGACACAGTCCACCGGTCTTGATTGGGAATTGTATTTTGAGAGAGTCCCCTTTTCAGTTAGATCCAGACAAGCCAACTCTGAAGCCATTCTTCCTTTTCTGAAATGGAGGGTCCAGAAATCATGCCTTTAGGTTCAGGAGAGTACCTAGAAACTTCCATGCTAGGCATATCTAATGCCATCCACTTCATATACACAAGTCACCCATGACTTATGATGACTGACTTAAAATTCCTTGACTCTAGATGGCACAAGAGCAACTAATGTTCACCAGAAATTGCTCTTCATTTTGAACTTTGACCTTTTCCCAGGCGGGTGATTTGCTCATGAGCCCCACGGATGCCACAGAGCAATGGTAACTCTCTGTTACCCCCAGTCATCCCCACTGATCATGGAAAGGAACAGCCACACTCTATGGCTGTGCTGTTGCTGAGTTAGTGTCTGGACGCTTGGAGAACTAAAGGATATTTTAACTCTGCACATCTTCAACCTGCAGTGGGTTTTGGGGGGATACAACTGAAAGAACATCTGTCCAGTATTTGATTCCTGTTTGTCTATGAGGGCAGGTTTCCTTATAATTGGAAAAGCCACTTATGTACTTAATGCTTTCACACTACCCACTGTGATCTAACCCACCTGAGGGATATAAATCAACCAAGATTTCCCTCTTCACTTACAGCTTATTAAACAAGACATAACAAAACAAAACAAAGAAATAAAACAACAACAACAACAAACCAGGAAGCTGCCAGCAAGCCACACCAGAATCTGCACCACATCCAACTAGAAAGGTAAGAAAGTCATTATGAAAGAAGAGTTTGGGTACAGGCTGTGGAGGTCAGGGATGGCTGGAGAGTGTCAAGACCCACGGTTTTCAGCTTAGGCCTGAGAATAGATCTGCTAGTGATCTGACCCAGAACTGGACGTAAATCCCACAAGAAATATTCCTCACAACTTCAAAGTAAGAAAACATACATGGCTCTTATCCCCTGCATGGCTACATGCATGTGTGTGTAATCAACTCTGAATTCCTATCCACACTATAGCGTGATTTTTATATTACACATTGGGTTACATCTGCTACTCCTAAGCCCGATTCAAATTCCCCAATGGCTGTTTTTCTCTTGAATTTTTACCTGTCTTTAAAAGAAAGAAATATACTATATACTAGTGAATATGTGCATGTGTGTTCATCATGGCTTGCACATGCATGGTATGTATGTAGAGGTCGGAGTACAACTTACAGGGATCAGTTCTCTCCTTCCATCCTGTGTGTCCCTCGGATCAAAGTCAGGCCTTCAGGCTTGGCAGTAAGTGCCTTCACCAATACTGAGCCATCTTGCTGGCTCTGTGTTTTCTTTTGTAACATATGTATACTTGCTATGAGTCTGATACTAACATAGTTCTACACGTAGCCTAGGTGCCCCAAGGTCCTGGAGACAGAGCAATTACTCTCCAGCGTAAAGTTTCACACAGTGTTCTTTCAAGACTGAAGATGAGGATGGCTTCTGCTGTAGTGACAGCACAGCCATGGGTAAGAAAGGTCTTGTCTGACCGAGTTCGTGCTAGGTTCCAGGCCTGCAAGGGTGGTAGACTTTCTCTGCTAAATTTGACTTCTGCTGTATTATTTTCTCTGCATCTGCTGCCAGTCCTCCAGGCATGAGCTCCTACGGACTCCCTACAGCTTCCCGGTGGAATCCTTTGCCCTGGGACACTCAGGGAGTACACGGTGCACAGAGCAGTGGTATGGGACACTCACAGAGAAGTGATTAGTTTGACTCCAATGAGAGAAGGCTCTGAAACCCAACACCATCAATACCCCATAGGCTCACAGAGCTGCCACAGGCTCACAGAGCTGCCACAGGCTCACAGAGCTGTCACGCACCTGCACTTTCTTGTTGTCCTGTTGCTCCTTTTCTAGCTGCACCTGAAGCTTTTTCCTCTCCTGCTCAAGTTCCCGCACTCTCTTCTGCAGCTTCAGGAAGACGGTCATGTCCATAGCTGCCTTCTCTACACCAATCTCCTACAAAGGAAGAGGGGTGCACAGAAGGTAGTTTCCACAGCACAAATGTTTCAGGGAACACACAATGCCTCGCTGCCCACCTCTGTATCAGCCATCTGTCTCCTTACTCCTCCCCAACACTAACTTTGCCTCCAACACAAAGCCAGTGCCAAACCACTAGTGTTTCTCACAGGAAGGCTGATGCTGTGGGCTTATTCTCTTCTAGATTATATCTCCGTCTCAGTCAGTTGTATTTCTCCCATGTGAGCCACTTAAATAACCAATCACATATTCTAAGAACACATGGACACAGGCACAGACATTTTCTTTGGAAGCTAAAAGGGAATTTACTTCTGGGAAATGGCATTACATGAGAGAAACTAATCTCAGGACATAGTGCTTCCTGGTGAGGGATCACTGTGGCCACCAGTCATTGTAAATGTGATGCCCAAACCTACCAGATTGCAACTTGAAATGATCAATATCCCCTACCATGGAGCCCATGATACTAATGCACTTAATTCCCAGTATATTTCTATTCTTGCAGAATCATGTCTGGATTTTACTATGTGGGTTAAGTATGTACACAAACATGTGTCTGCCTGTGAGTGGGTACACTATACTGTGTACACGTGTGGCAGCACGATCTTGTTCTGCCTCATGTAATGAGTACTTTGTGCTCAGCCAGCTCAGGATCTGCCTTAAGAACATAGCCTGAGGTATGGTGTGCTCATATCTGCATGGAAACAGTATCCACACAAATGCTGGACTGTACATCTGACTGCACAGCTTGCACAGTCTATAAGTCCACTGTAACCCAATAACCCTGTTCTCAATGCCCATCCCCTGCAACCCTTGAGCTACCACCCACAGGGTGGGAATCTCTGTTGGATAGTTCCACGCAGGTCATTAACACATCCGGGGCAGGATGGCTGCAAATAGTGCCCAGGCTTACCTCTACCTGCTGAAGGGCATCCTCAGTGTCTCCAATCTCAGAAGTGGAAATGGAGGGGTAATTGGAGTCCGATTCTAAGCTGCTTTGATTTGATGGGTTCTTCCTGTGGCCCGGAGTTTGCTGCTTATGGAGAAAAATGTGACAATTCATAACCAGCTCATACTAAGAATGAGACTAACTTCTCAAGGAGCGGTAGGCCCTGGACATCAGCCAACTGCCTCACTTGTCAACAAGGACTGCTCCTTGTCAACAGCACTGCTCCTTGGAACAGTGGATAAATAACTACTCCCATGTACGCTATATAAACCTTCTACTGAAGAGCCACATGCCCAGCCCTTCCCTTGTCTCTTAATGTTTTACAATCCATGACACCCAGAAAGTGAGGAAGAACAGCCCTTCTCTCCCGACTGTGCCCCCAGAATGCACACAGTGTACCCTTTTCCGTGTTTCCGGAAGGAATGCTGCAAGTCTACCCTGAACTGCCTCTCCTTCCATCACACTCTGCTCATGGATATGGAGTAATTAGAAATAGAGCGGACCTTCCGTGCTATTCATTTAAAAAGACCTTTCAGTTTTTTTTTTTTTTTTTTTTTTTTTTTGGCAGCCGGGTTCTTTAGGAGTGAAAAACTGAGCTTGGTGGAATTTTTTTAGATTTCTATTTCAGTTCCTATTCAGATTGCTTTCCTGGTTTCCATGCAACTAACTTACTGATGTTGAATATGTATGTTGGGAGGGAGTATTCATATGGGTAAATAAGAATGTCAAATCTTGAAATGTCACAAAAATATATTGCATTTTTGTCAGATTAGGAGATCAAATCCGGTTCCAAGGGTCTCTCTCTATATGTACCAATGCAGCTGAGGGCACAGCCCACCATACCACTGTCTCAACACCTGAGTTTTCTAGAACAAGAAGCAGGATGACAACATACACACATAGGAAAATAATTGCTAGCCTCCTAAGATCTCAATAAGACCTCAGTGTTGACAAAGGGCATCCTCAGGAAGAGACCACTGACTGGCAGCTTCCTAACCCCAGGGTTCCCATAGGAACAAAAGAATAGGTGGTCCTTGCACACATGCATGTTTGCTGAGTGGGGCAGTGCCAGAGAGCAAGGGCTACACAGCCAGGTCTAAAAGGCAGAAAAGGAAGCCTTTTCCACCCGGCAGCAGAACTGCCTCCCTTGCCTTTAGCATGGTCACCTCATCTCGAAGGTTCTCATATCTCTGCTCCAGCAGGGAGTATTCCTTCACGAGGTTCTGGTACCTGGACCTCTCCTCCTCCAGTTCCTTCTTCATCAGGAGGTTCTCCTCCACAGAGCTCTGGGAAGATTCAGCTGGAAAGCAGGCATGGGAAGCTGGGTTTCAGCAACTGAGGGGGATCCTGTAATGCGCATGCCCTGCTAGGAGCATTCTGACTAATCTCCTGTTAAGAGGCTGCCCACAATAGCTCATCGCAGTCTCTCATTTCCCTCACCCACTGTGGAGTTGAGGAGGGTCTCATTGTCCTGAACCAAGGGTCCTGACAGGAAGAAGGGTGACCCTGCTCTCAGAGAGGTGGGGAGAGAGACTCTCAATGCACATGAGCACCCCAACCTGGCAGCATTTCCAGTAGAACCAGGCTTCATTCTGAACTCTCATCATAATCCTGCTCTTACAGGTCCTTGGAGACCAGACCAGAGGTGCTATAGGGAGAAGTGGGCTAGGAACCAAAGACATTCAGATGGGCTTTTTTCTCTTGCCAACCCCGTATCCATAGTAACAGATAAAGGAAAGCAAGTTGGGTTTTTTCTTTTTCTTTCTTTTTTTTTTTTTTTTTTCCAATTTGAAAGCATCTTATATTGTCACAAGATCTTAGGTTGGTGAGGGGCTGTGAGGTTATGATGCTCAGCTGCCCTGTGAAATTGATGAGGACCCCAGGGAGGAGATCTGGTTACACTGGACAGACGAGAACTGGCTTTGTTACGTACTCCACTGTCCCCACCTTAGACAAGTGAGCCACAGGGGTGGGTGGCAGCCTGGAAGTTAGTGAGTACTTGAGAGGTTCATCTAGAGTCTAATCAAAGACCCTGGTCTTCAGCAAGAGGAGTGACAGTATGGTAGGAAACACAGGTGATAAAGATGAACAAGACAAACGTAAAGACACACATGGACACTCTCTGTGCTCAGCACCAGCTTAAGCGGTTCACTGGCATATCTAGCTCCATCCTCCCATGAGCCCTTCCAGTTCAGTCTTCCCTGCCCATTTTCAGATGGACACTTGCACAAGGTCACAGAACTGTGCATAGCGGCGTCATGCTTTGAATACTTGAATACTGATACCAAGTCCCATGGGTGGCTTTACACATTAGGAATGTACTCTCCTTCCAACACATTGTTCAAAAGAATGTCACAGCAGAGTGTTAAGATTCACCTCCCATCTCCCCAGCTCTCCTTAGCAAGCCCTTCCTCCTCGGCATCATCTAGGCGCCAGGAAAAGCAGGAAGGAAGAGACATAATGCTGCTTTGGAGCTTACCTTTTGACTGGTGCAGGATTTGGTTATTAAGGTATTCTTTCTCGTCCTTCAAGAGAGCATTTTCATGTTCCAGGTCTGCAACTCGCTGAAAAACACCAACAGGTAAAACAAAACAAAAGCCAGAAAAACAAAACCAAGAACCCAGCATGGAGGTTGCAGGGGACTCTGAGGCTCCACCCCTAGTGGGGGAACTATTGGCAGTTGATGTCTACTCAGGGAAGGACAGTCACTCTCCTTTGAGGACATGGCCCCTGGGAGGTTGCCCATGCCCCAGTGGATGGCCCCACACCCATGGATATACAGGGAGCACTAATTGGACTCGAGTTATTAAAACCAAGTAAAAAAGAAGATATGAAGTTTTAGAGTGTGTGGTATCAGGAGGAGCTGGAAAGAAATAGTAGCAGATGGACTCAAAGAAGAAATTAAAAATTTCTAAAATCTAAGGCATGAGAGGCCAGTGAGATGCTTTGTCAGAGGGAAGGGTATCACCACCAAGTTTAATTACTTGAGCTCAATTCCAGATGGTAAGAGAGGGCTGACTCTTAAAAGTTACCCCCTGACCTGCGCGCGCGTACACACACACACACACACACACACACACACACACACACACACACACATACACACACACATTGTGATGACAATGATGTTAATATTTAGGTAGTGGACTCTTAACACAAAGTTGAAATTAACATCTTTCAGATACTTAAGCAATTTCAAAATAATGAATAACTCGCATCTCCAGGATACTCTTGGGGATGTGTTCCAGTTCATTCCCAAGCTCACAGAGCCTTCAATGCTGAAGACAACTGCTTATCTCTGGAGGTTTCACAGGCTACAGTGGTTCCTGACATCACAGAGTGCTGCCAGGTCTCACCCCCATCTCTTTGCCAAAGCCTTACTATCCTTCTCCTCCTGGCTGCTCAGCACCGGTCACTGCAGATGTCCTCGTGGCTCACTCTCACTCAGGTGTCTTCAGTGAGGCACCTCTGGCTGTCACACATGACCCACGCCCCACTCCCCTACAAAAGTCACTCTTCATCCCCCTGCTCAGTGTGCTTTTATAGCACAAGAAGGAAAATCGCAGAAGCACTCCCTTCTCTACCGTCTGTTTCCTAAGAATGAGAAGAACCTTTGTGACTATTCTTTTTGTCCCACTATGTAGAACAGTTTCTAACACACAGCGCACTAGATAAACACCTGCTGAGTGAAGGACAATGACTTCTATCATTCTGTGGCAAGCCCTGTCATCCTCAGAGATGAGTTAAAACCCTTTCTAATAACTGTCAGCCTTTTCATGAAACCACAAATCCCTGTGCTGCACCTTGAGGAGGCTCAACCAATGAGAGCCCTGTACTCTCTCCAGACAAATCTCTCTGTTTCCATTATGCCACATACTGGAATTACTGAAGGAAACCAGCAGGGGTGGTTCTGTGACTGCTAAGGTGAAACCACATACAATCTGATGCACCAGCCTGACCACTCAGGACCTAGGGCCTACTAGGCACCAGGGAAGTGCCCAGGATGCCACAGGGTCAAGCAATTGGATGCAGGTCACTTTTCTTCTCTCACTGCAGCCTTGTACCAAGGTAGGCTCCATGTAACCTTCAGAGCACACTCTCAATTAGGAGCTCATGATGGTTTGAAAGAAAATGGTCCCCAAAGGGAGTGGCACTGTTAGCAGGTGTGGCCTTGTTGGAGGAAGTGTGCCACTTCAGGGGTGGGATTTGAGGTCTCCTATGCTCAAGCTATGCCCAGAGTCACAGTTCACTTCCTGCTGCCTTCAGGTCAAGATGTAGAACTCTCAGCCCCTTCTCTAGCACCATGGCTGCCTGCATGGCACCATGTTTCCTACTATGATGATGGTGGAATAAACCTCTGGAACTGTTTGCCAGCCAAATTAAACATTGTCCTTCAAAAGTTGCTGTGGTCATGGTGTCTCTTCACAGCAATTGAAACCCTAATGAAGCTATTGTTTTCCATGCCAGTGGCAGCCCAGGGAGGTACCTCCCTTCTAAGTAACAAAGCTACACAGAACAGCACAGCCAGAGAGGGACGCTAAGGCTTTAGGAAGGAACAGACGGGACAGAGTTAAGATCCTTAGTGAGGACTAGTCTATGGAGAGGTCATGTCTCCCTCACTAAAAATTGATAGGCTGGCGTGTGACAGGGGCAGCCCCATGCTCTGTGGACACAGAGACAGACTCCTGAATCCTAAGAGCTAAGGTAGCATAGCCATGTGGTCTACTAGGTAAGAGCACTGGAGGTGGCAGCCCCAACTGTTCCAGGATGCCAATTCCAATACAGCACTTGCAGTTTCTGCTGACAGAAACATCAAACCCATTAATTAAACATCTACCAGCAGCTGGCTCCATCTCTGTGCTTTGCTGCTCTCATCAATCTCACTCAACACAGAGAAAGCTCCTGGACATGACCAGAAAGAAACCAACTGTCTTATTATTCAGCACTTGTTCAGGTTGGATACTGTCCTTGCTACATATTAAACCCCAGCTAGGCAGATACTAGAATAGAAAGTGGGAACCAGCTGTCCCTTGACCATTCTCCAACCACTGAAGTAAAATATTCCACAGACTACTAGAGAAAGGAGAATGTCTATTTCTCATTTTTCCATTTCCTAGAAAGCAAGGATCTGCCCACTTAATGAATCATTTTATTCCAGTGTCTTTTGAGGGCTGTTAACATAGGCTTGTATTCATTTGGAGTTAGAGAAGAGGGTCTTAGCTAAGTATATTAGTGTAAGATTTTTATCCCAGCTCTCAGGAGACAAAGGCAGATAGACAGATCTCTGTTTGAGGCCATTCTGGCCTATGTAGCAAGTTCTAGGCCAGCCAGGGCTACAAGGTGAACCCTCATCTCAAAAGATGGTGTGGGGGCAGGTGTCTTTGCACCAACTATCCCCTTTCTGGTAGTGTCCTGGACTTTTTTCTTGCTAGTTCCAAGCTCCAGTTATATTCAATCTCTAGGCCAATAGGCTCCTAGGTAACAGCCATTTTTTTATTTTTATTTTTTTAAAGAGAGCAGGGTGGACTTGGCTTCTCTGGTTGGCTTCGCCACACAAGTTTTCATACAATAAACCCTTACCTGCCTTTGGACAGAAACCCAACTATTTTAGGTGCTCTGAGACACCAATTCAAAATCTTCGTGGGAAGCTGGGAAGGGAAATTAGAGTTCATGGTTCTCAGCTACAAGGGAGAAGCAGGGTAGAGGAAGAGCCAAGGACTACAGAGCAGGACTGAAGTCTTCTATCCAGTTTAGAAAAACATATAAAATCGTATGTACTGGCTAATCCAAGTCCAGAAGCAGACTTAGAGATGATCAAGGCCATGTGTCGAAGTATGTTCATGTACATACATGCACACCTACACATGGGCATCCTGGCCAGTAGGAGATTTTGCACACACTTGACAGTATAGAGTAGGGGTTAGGGTCAGTATTTCTGTGTCTGCTCCAGGTGTGCCAGCATTGTCTGTCCTGATTTTAGACTCTCTCCTTCCTTGGGTTCTCAATCCACATGACTCTGTATGGTGGACAGATACCAAACATGAGGATGATGTGCTATTTTCCTTCTAGTTGCATTATGGTAGAGATGGGGAGAGACAGAGGTTCTCAACCACGACCCTCCAGTGTGGGACTTTCCTAGTTGGGAGAGCTATATTGGAAGTTCAGAAAAGCTGAACAGCTGGAGCAGTGGAAGCAATCCAAGAAAGTCCCATTTCATGGACTGGGAGAAAGCCTTATGAGCCTTATGAACTATAGTGAGAAAAATCAGGCTACAGCTTGCAAAGCAGACCCCCCCCCAAAAAAAAATATATGGATTTCCTGGTGGGAATGATATCTATAGGCTGTTGAGGCCCTAAAACTCTTAACACCTGTCATCTCTCTCACTAAAGACTAGATCTGTAGAGTTGACCTGGGAACTGCCTGTAGGTTTTAAGGAAGATGGGCAAAGACGTTAGACAACCATTTGCTATCGCAATGGATGCCACAGTGTTTAGCTAATGGCAGAAGCTCACTCAACACTTGCTCGAGGAAGAGACATTTGTTGCATGACCCAGAAGCAGAGCCATTTTCGAAGCGAAGAAGGGTGGCTGGTCTGAGGACACAAGCCCTGGAAATCAGGGAAATTTCCCAGCATGAAGCCCACCCACCACCCTTTTCTGCAGGCCTGCTCCCCGGGTCCACACATACCTTTCTCAGCTCGCTATTCTCCCTGCTGTGGGCATCCTCCAGGACCCTGCGCTCTGACTGAGCCCTCTGTAATTCAGTGCGCAGGCTCTGCACCTCCTCCTGCAGCTGCAGGCTGGTGTCAGCCTCCTGGTTCTGCTGGTAATGTGCCAGCTCCTTCTTCAGCTTCTCCACCTCCATGGCATGTGTGGAGGTGACTGCAGACAACTGCTCTGACAGAGTCTTGAACTCTTTGTTCTATAGAGAACAGAGGTGGGTAAGGAAAAACAGAGGGTGGTTGAGTCATGAAAACGCACAAAGGCTGCCAGACTTGTGGGGCAGAATTAAATCTCAGAGCCCTTACATGCCCAGGCACTCTCCTGCCATCTCTCTAGCATCTTTAACTTCTATTGTGAACCTAGAAGTGGAGGGAGACACAAACAGCAGCACCGACACAGAAATAGTTCAAGGAATATGCATGACTACTCACAGGGTAGGTTGGCTGGCTGCAAGAATGATGCAGCCAGCTTCCTGGATCTGTAGCCTTGGCCTCTTAGGGTTCCCCAGCATTTCACAAGGAGCCCTCCTGGCCTTGGACTAACTGGCACAAAGAGTTGTAACCTAATCCCTTCCTCTGAGACAAAGGACCCCTTCAGCATCCCCTCTTTCAAGGAGGCCCTCCAAGGGGCCCCAGGGTCTCTCTTGCCACCTGTCAACAGAGCTCATACCACATAACCCTCACTGGAAAGACTGGTATCTGATAACACCCACCCATAGGCTGTGTACCCAATCAGCAGCCAACTTGTGTGTGCATCAGGTTCTGAGAATCTACTTCCAGGATCAAGCTCCGGGTAGTAAAGGATGGGCTGGGAGAAGTGAGAGAGATGAGGCAGAGTAGTCAGTAGAGAGAGCAGGAGCAGAGGAGAGAGCACTCCCTGAATCAGCAGGCAAGCAGCACTCACTGGTTATTCTTCATTGCTGTATTCCACAGAACTCCAAGCAGAACAGAGCCATCAGCTAAGATGTCATTAAGCCAGGGCATCAGGAACCAATGGCTAATTCACAGGGAAATTAAACCTCATAGGAATGCTCAAAGAAAGGCTGCTGTCATAAACACAATAGCACACAGCTCCAAGTGCTATGTTTGAGCATGCAAGCAGTTCATTCCTTGTGTGCAAGATTCCCCATGCTCTCTGCAAGCTCCAGGTATAGCCTCCTTCCCCCTACATCTGTCTTGCTATGAGCCTCACCTGCAGAATCTAGGGAAGTCTAATTAAGCAGCATCTACTTAGAAAGACCAATACCTGTGTGAATTGCTCACCAGGGTCTGGGTCTACACTGGAGGCAGAGGATCCCTGCCCAGGTGGAGGTCATGCTTAACTAGCTACTTTTTGTCTTCATCTTTGCTCTGGGATGTGAGTTAGCTCAGATCAGTTGTCAACTCCCAATGGCTTGGTCCAGGCCAGATCAACAAGGGTAGAGAGGTGGCTGAAGTCCCTAAACAGAGCTGGTCGGGATATAAAGAGACAAGCACATGGTGGTGGAGCAGGCGACACAGGCACGTCTCACCCTGCTATGGTCAAATGTGACACTTTGGAATGCTGATGTTTTTGGGAGGTTCAGCTTTCCTGACTCTGATGCTACCAGAGACCAGGCTCAAACATTGAGGAAGAAGGTGTCTGAAGCTAACAGACCTGTGCCTGGGTTCGTCTTGTCCTCAGCCCATCTTAGAAGGTCAATATATAGGGAACAACATGCTTATCCAGTATGTGCCACAGTCACTCCTTGGTTACTGTCACTGAATCTCACTGACCTGTGTTCTCTATGGAGTCCCCTTGGCTGCTGCTCAGAGGCTCTGCTTCTCCCAGGCCCCAGTCCCAATCACCACCAACACCCTTGTCATTCAAACCACCTCCGCGCCCAGCTTCCTGTGGCTGTATGTTTTGTGTCTTAGGCACAAAACCGACACAATCAAGACTCGTTGTGCTTTCCAGTCTCGTGTGGGCTGGTGTGGGAAGAGGGAAAATCATTGCAAGAATCTCCATGGGGAACTCACAGACTACTTCTGCTAAGTGCTCACTTGGGGCTATCACTGTACCTCATTTATGCCTATCAAACGTCATCTTCAGGGAGGGCAACTGAAAGCCCACACATAATTCAGATAATTCACTGGTGCACAGAAAAGTCCCAAAGCTGTAATTTATAGCAGACTGTTTTCCTAACATATATGGATACCCCTGAGAATCATAAAATATGGACTAATGTAACATTTACCAAATGGCTATTATCTTGAATCCAACTGATTTAAAGGTCACTGACCTAACTATTGATTTGGGTTATATTTTTTTCAGATAAAAATGTTTAAACACAGCATTATAGCCACAAGGGCCTAAGAATCTTGAATTCTATGACAAGAAACTGTAAAATCTGGCCATGTCATTCTACCACAGTGACAGAGTTCACAGACTCTATCATTTTGGTTGAACCATATCATACCAGAGGCTAATGCTAGGTACACCATGGGACAATTTCCAGGATGGTCCCTGTAAAGGTCACTGCCAAGGAGGTGGCATGTGACATCAGAGACCAAAAACCCTGAAGAGAAATGTTTTAGCACCAGGGACAGCTCCAGACTCTGGGTTACCCTATTTCTTCCTGAGGGACTCTAATGTAACAATGTCCTCTTGATTACTCACAAACTTGGTGCCAGTTGGAGTCTGTTCTTTGCAGCTGAGGACCTCAGCTTGAAGGCATGAACTTGGGGTGCTCATCTCCCCTGGTTTTGCCTTTTGGTTTCCTTCACATGGTGGTGGGGAATACTCTCTCTAGACTTCAGTCTCCGGTATGGAGATACTACCTCCTATGTCATGCTTTTCTGACAAGTGACTTGGGACACTTGTCTCTGGTATCCCTGGCAATGTGCATCTTTTCCTTCTGGCTTAAAGACTGTAAAGAGAGTGGCTGTCTAGATTAATTCCTGGAGTCACAGGGAAAAAGACACCCAACTCACTTCCCAATAGATGTTTTGCCCACCAAGAGATCGCCAGTGCTCATGGTGATGTGTGCCCATGCCTCACCCACCATCATGGATGTCAAACATTGGCCACCTGCCCCAAGAACATGATATTTTCATGATCCCAAACCTACATTAGGGTCTCTGTTTGGCCTGAAGAACATTCCTTGTATGTCCCAAGGGTATCCCATGGGAGTGATCTAGCCAGAGGTGACAAAAACCTGCCTGAAAGCAACCCGCTATGTTTCAATCTCAGCCAGGATACCTACTGGCTTCATGGCTTTTGGTAGGTTACCTACCCTCTGTGCCCTTTAGTGTGCTCATTATTAAAATGGGGACAATAGTAAGACTTGCCCTGAAGGTGTGGTGAAGATCAATGAGTTAATGTATGAATCTAGTGCCCGGCATGAGAGTCACATGGAGAATGGTGTGAAAAAGATCTCATGTGTCCTCTGATCACCCGATGCATATAGGAAGCCTAGCCCAGGGTGGCAACATCTGCCACTGCTCACAGATGTTCACCAAGCAGGAGGAAGCTTAAGGCAAAAAGCTCCCTTTAAAAATAGCCCTTTCAAATCTACTTCTCTCTGATGTGCAAGCATGTGGGGTGTAAAATGCTATATTATTTTTATCCTCTGGCATTGACTTCATACATCAGCAAGGCCGATGCTGAGCACTATCTGAAACCAGCAGGTTAGCCTGTGGCACACAGGCTCCTCCCTAGCGGGAAGAGTGGTTTCAGTCCCCTTGTCCTTCTGGCTACACTGTGCCTAGGAGACTGAACAATGGTGACTGGCCCTGGCAGACACAGAGGACACTGGTGCTTGCTGTTTTAACAGACTCCTTCCCTAGTCACTGCTTCCCTGACTTGCTGTGTCACTACAGGCTGACCAGGGTAGGGACTGAGCATCCCCAACTTGTACTTAGAGGACTATCTTTAAATACCTTCAAGCCAGCACTCTGGATAACTTCCCAGAGAACACAGTCCCAGGGTACCAGCTCTTCTAAGAAACCTGGCCTCTACCTGGAGCAAGAAAGCAAAGTGTTCCACTGTCAGCTCTCTCTGCACAGGGGCTCACATGTAGGACAGCCAGCTCAGCCAAAGGATAGTTCATTTTACTGCAAATGTGGCTCAATCAGCAGAGTGCTTGCCTTGCAGCGTGAATTCCCTGGTTGAGCCCTAGCATGGCATAAAACTGAGCCTGGTAGCCCACCCCTGTTGATGCCAGCACTCGGGAGGGAGAGACAAAAAGTCAGAAGTTCGAGGTCATTCTTGGCTATAAAAGGTGTGACAGGCTAGCCAGGACTACATGAGAGTCTACCTTAAACAAAACAAAATAAAACAAAAAAGACTCATCAATTTTCTTGCCCAGAGGCTACAGGAAGGTTCAAAACTGCCCCCAAATAGGCACAGTCAGATCAGGTGACCTGCACTGCCATGCCTGGTGACCCCACTGCCAACTTTCTCTTTTCCCGACACCCATACCATGTGCACTTTGCATCCTTTCTCTTTGCTTTTTTGGAAGCCTGGTCCTGTGGTCCCATTGACATAGCCAGGGCCCTGATGCAGCAAGTTTCTTTTCCTCTCAGGAAGACTAAGCCAGTAATAACAAAGACCAGGGGCAGCTCATCAGTGACAGTGGAGACTAAGAAGCCAGCACCGTCCTCACACTAGCTGTGGGGTGAGACCTGGGGTGCAAGCTGTGGAGTGAGGTCTGGGGTGTAGGGTGTGGAGTGAGGTCTGGGGTGTAGGGTGTGGAGTGAGGTCTGGGGTGTAGGGTGTGGGGTGAGGTCTAGGGTGTAGGGTGTGGGGTGAGGTCTAGGGTACAGGCTGTGGGGTGAGGTCTGGGGTGAAGGCTGTGGGGTGAGGTCTGGGGTGCAGGCTGTGGGGTGAGGTCTGGGGTGCAGGCTATGGGGTGAGGTCTGGGGTGCAGGCTGTGGGGTGAGGTCTGGGGTGCAGGCTGTGGGGTGAGGTCTGGGGTGCAGGCTGTGGGGTGAGGTCTGGGGTGCAGGCTGTGGGGGTGAGGTCTGGGGTGCAGGCTGTGGGGTGAGGTCTGGGGTGAAGGCTGTGGGGTGAGGTCTGGGGTGCAGGCTGTGGGGTGAGGTCTGGGGTGCAGGTTATGGGGTGAGGTCTGGGGTGCAGGCTGTGGGGTGAGGTCTGGGGTGCAGGCTGTGGGGTGAGGTCTGGGGTGCAGGCTGTGGGGTGAGGTCTGGGGTGTAGGCTGTGGGGGTGAGGTCTGGGGTGCAGGCTGTGGGGTGAGGTCTGGGGTGAAGGCTGTGGGGTGAGGTCTGGGGTGAAGGCTGTGGGGTGAGGTCTGGGGTGAAGGCTGTGGGGTGAGGTCTGGGGTGAAGGCTGTGGGGTGAGGTCTGGGGTGAAGGCTGTGGGGTGAGGTCTGGGGTGCAGGCTGTGGGGTGAGACCTGGGGTGCAGGTTATGGGGTGAGGTCTGGGGTGCAGGCTGTGGGGTGGGTCTGGGGTGCAGGCTGTGGGGTGAGGTCTGGGGTGAGGCTGTGGGGTGAGGTCTGGGGTGCAGGCTGTGGGGTGGGTCTGGGGTGCAGGCTGTGGGGTGAGGTCTGGGGTGAAGGCTGTGGGGTGAGGTCTGGGGTGAAGGCTGTGGGGTGAGACCTGGGGTGCAGGTTATGGGGTGAGGTCTGGGGTGCAGGCTGTGGGGTGAGGTCTGGGGTGCAGGCTGTGGGGTGAGGTCTGGGGTGAAGGCTGTGGGGTGAGGTCTGGGGTGAAGGCAGTGGGGTGAGGTCTGGGGTGCAGGCTGTGGGGTGAGACCTGGGGTGCAGGCTGTGGGGTGAGGTCTGGGGTGCATTCAGATTTTAACACTTTATTCCCCTGTGACTTGGCTAAACTATTTGATGTTCCTAATCCATCATCTTCAAAATGACTCATGTACAGATCATCTACTGTATGAATCATATGTGAGTGAACATAACACACCTAACACAGGCTCAAAAACAAAAATCACAGTGGTATAAACAGAGCTTCAGACTAGTATAGACTATATGAGAGTCTTTTTTTTTTTTTCCCGATTTTTCAAGACAGGGTTTCTCTGTATTGCTTTGGGACCTGTCCTGGAACTTGCTCTGTAGACCAGGCTGACCTCAAACTCAGAGATCCACCTCTGCCTCTTGAGTGCTGGGATTAAAGTCATGTGCCACTAATGCCCAGAATGAGAGTCTATCTTTAAGAAAAAAATAAAAATCAAAAGCAAAATGACTCTCCTATTGTCCTGCCTTGAGGCTTTGAGAAGCTTCAAAATCTCTACTGTACTAAGGTTTATCTCTATAATAACAGCATCCAACCTGTGCCATGTTTCTTCCTGTCTGTCTGACAATCAGGCACCGAATGGAGGTCTTCTGGGGTATAGGGGAGTAGATCCTTGGGTCACCTGAGTGGTGTAAACCTATTTCCAACTTGTACTCTACCCTGAGCAGACATGAACCCAAAGAAGGAGCTTGCCTCAGATCCCTTTCACAGAAATCCACCCATATAGGGCTTTATCTAATTGCTTATCTAATTGGTTGATGTGTGAAGGTGGCCAGGGCAGACAGAGTTAAATGCTTAAGCAATGCAATACCAATGTCATGTCAGACAGGATGCCAACATTTACCTCATGGGGACAGTCATACACAAATAGGGAAGTACAATGTGGGTCCACAGGAACCTTTGGTAAACACCAGCCAGTGCTTTAGCTGTACCACACAGCCTCTGTAGGAGTCTGACATAATCTATCAATTTCCTACTATTGCTATAAAGAATAAGATGAAGTGGATGGCTCAGAACAGCATAAGCTACTATTTTACAGTTCTGGAACACAGAAGTCTAAATGTGGTCAGCAGGACTGTAGTCTTTCGGACACTCTATGGGAGAACATCCCTCTGTTATTTGTAGCTCCTAAAGGTGGCTTGACTGTTGTAGCTTGTGAACCTGTGTGGTGATATATTATTTATGATTTAATAAGCTTGCCTCAGGGTTCAGAATGCAAAGATAGCCACAAGCCATAGAGTCAGGCAGTGGTGGCACACACCTTTAATCCCAGCAGTCATACTAGCTAGTCATAGAGTCAGGCAGTGGTGATACACACCTCTAATCACAGAAGCCACACTAACTAACTTGATCCAGTTTTCCTCTTGCAAGCATCCTATGGTTCCTGGGTATCCCTACCTGGGTATCCCAGGGTCATCTTCCAAACCAGACATCCTTAATTGATGCACAAATTTATAGATCCTGGGGATTAGGGCCTAGCATCTTTGTTAGGGGAAGCTCTGTTCTGTGTACTATAGGTAGTAACTATTCTTACTTACTGGGCAGTACTTCCTGAGGTCTCTGGTACCTGCAGCTCCCTGAAAAAGCTTGAGGTCCCTCTCAAGCATGTCCCAGTATCCCTCAAGCTTCAGCAACTGTGTAGGAATTTCCTTCCACTGACCTGGTCATCGATCTTCCGCTGTAGCTGGACCACTTTGTTCTCCATGCCCACATTGAGACGTTTTAAATGCTCTGCAGAGCGGGCCTCAATCTTGAGGGCCTTCAGCTCCTGCTTGGCCTTGAGCCGCCGGAAGGCACACTGGATGACAATGGCTGCATCCCGCTGCCGCTGGAAATGTCTACGTGCCATCCATCCCCGGGCATACTTCTGGATGATTGTGGCTTTATACTCCTTGAGGACCTGGTGAGGACAAGCACATTCAGCCTGTGGGTTTGCTCTACAGAATGGGGACAGGTGCAGCTTCTCCAACCACCCTGAGGTGAAAGCAGGCTGGCCTTGGGTTTATGAGACAGAGCACAGGTGACCTCTAACACCTGAGGATTTGATGGAAAGTTTTAGCTAGGTCCTGTAGATAATGTGTCCACAGGGAAGCAGCTGTCAAACTCCTATTTATACCCTTATTTTACTAGAAAGGAAACCACAGCCTAAGAAGCTTAACATATTGGGAAGCCCAATGATCATTCCATTCCAGAGAGGCAGTGGTACTGGTGCAGAGAGTGAGATTCTCATGGCAGCTACTCACCTGGCAGTAGTTTCTTCGCACAAACATGGCCCGTGTGAAGGACTGGATGACAACTGCAGCTCTGTGGATTCTCCGGTAGGCCAGGCGGGCCCTCTGCATCCGGTAGTACTTCTGGAACACTATGGCTGCACGGGTTCTCCGCAGGTGCTCAGCCAGTCTGGGAGTAGTGGTGGAAGAGCACAGGGGGCATCAGGGACAGGGACGTGGCCAACTGAGCTACTCATGAAGTAAGCCCTTCCCTCTGTGGCCCTAGTTGGAGCCCCAGCTAGACTAGAGTTACAGACACCTGTGAGCTGCCGTGTGGGTGCTGGGAATTGTACCTGTGTTCTCTGGAAGGGCAGCCAGTGCTCTTAAATGCTGGACCATCTCTCCAGCCTAGCATCTCCCATTGTTAAAAGGGTCACACTGCTGTCATCCTGTGCCCCCACAAGCTCAGAGATAGTTCAAACACGCTGCATTCTTGTGTCTAGTTTAGGATTTGGCAATTCAGGACCAGGGCAAATGTTTGCTGAATGGAAAGAAACTCCTCAGGCCAACAATGACCCCTCCTAGTTTTCTCATTTCTCCCAAACTTCCCACTTTCTCCCTTCTGCAGTCCACCCACCTTTAGAGCACATAGGTCCCACCCTTCTTGAGAGCCTATCAAGTTCATTGCAAGGGCTCAGGGAGAGAGGATCAGAGTGCCCAGTGCTGGGGAGGACCTAGGAGATCACAGCACAACCCTGAGAAAGGAAGTTCCCTCCTGGGCCACCAGCACCTACATGCAGAGGTTCATGGGTCCCCTAGTCTGTCTCTCTGTCCTTTCTTCACACAAGGCCTGTCCATCCCCTGGGTCACATGACCCCTTCAAGGAGAATGCAGCAAGATCACCACCAGGAAGCCTGAGCAAGTGCCGATGATAGTGGGTAGGGACTAAAAAGCCACTCAGAGGTGGCCTGACTGCCCTTTCATCTCCACAGCTTCTGCACTGGAGCTTATCTTAACAGTACAGAGGTGACAATGGCAAGAGCTATCTCTGACTATGTGTAAGAAAGCAGCCTGCAGCAAGCACATAAGCGAGGACAGCACCTCCACCTTTACCATACAAAAGAGGCCTAGACCAAACTTAGGTGGGGGAGGTCCTTCTGTAGGCTGCAAATATGCGCTGCTTTTATTGGTTGATGAATAAAGCTATTTCAGCCAATGGCCAGGAAAGATATAGCTAGGCAGGACATCCAAACAAAGATGCAGAGAGAAGGAAGGCGGAGTGAGGGAGGTGCCAGGGAATTAAGATGTGAGGTAACAAGCTATGAGCCTTGTGGTAAAATATAAACTAATAGAAATGGGTTAAGTAATAGGTAGCCCTAGCCAGTAAGAAGTTTGAGCCATTGGTCAAACAGTATGACTGATATCAAGCCTCTGAGTGGTTATTTCATAAGTGGTTGCAGGGATCCACAAGTGGGAAAGAAAATGGTCCAGGGGGACTAGGTGGAATGCATGAAGAGATTTCAACTACAGGTCTGTGTTTCTCTTTCTCCAGTAGAGATGGTGGAATAGCCACTTGAGAAACTGGCAATTTCCATCATCTCTCCAAGGCAAAAAGGAGCAAGCACTGTGAGGCAGGCTAGGCCTCAATCCGACAACCCATGTACAGGCTAGGAGGAAGCAACATCTAGCATCTCACTGGAGCTCTGCCTCTTACCCCTGCTGCTGCCATCTTATTGTTCATTAGCCCAAAGCCACTCATTGGGAAGAGAGTGGTGGCAGTAGTTCCCCCCTGCATGGTACCGCACAGGGAAGAGTCTGGCTGGTGTCCTGTCAAGAAAGTCATCACAGGGATGCACAAAGGTACTAGGAGCGATTTAAGAAGCAGATTGGGCCCAAGAGGAATAACTGCAATTCTAGACAAAGAGTCCCTCCCCTTCATCCTGACCCGAGGTGCACCCCCAAATGGCTCACCTGCGGGCCAGGTGTCCTCTGTAGAACCTCTGCACAGTTAAGGTAGCTGCCTTCAGCCTCTGATACTTCACTTTCTGCAGCCAGCCCCTGACTGTCTTCTGGATCATGACAGTGGCCTCCCGGAACTTGTCTGCCCGAAGCTTCTCCAGGTAAGCCACCTGGCCCGCCCTGAAGAAGATCTTGGTGCGGCCAAACTGGAATTTGTCTGGATCCTTTACAAGGTTGGGAGGGAGACCAGCTGGTTAGAGAATGCTGCAAAAACATAATAGCCTTTCCTTCCAACCACTTGCCAGATTGTGTGTTTACCCCTTGCCCCAGGAGACACTCCTAGATTCTCAGTATTCATTAAACAGACTTCAGTCTTCATGGTAAGACAGGCATGGATCCAGGATGTAGCCATTAAAAAGATACCTGCCCTCAAAAACCCAACAACATGGGGAAGGCAGATAGAAAAGTAAACAGGAGAAACCCTTTAAGAGGGGGAGGATTAGCAAGAAACAATGTTCAAAAGGGGTGGTCTAGGCCAGTGGTTCTCAACCTTCCTGATGCTGCAATCCTTTAATACAGTTACTCATGTTGTGGCAATCACCAATCACAAAATTATTTTCATTGCTCCTTCATAACTAATTTTGCTACTGTTATGGATCATATTATAAATAACTGATATGCAGGATATTTGATATGTGACCCTCCCAATATTTAGGGCCCCACATGTTGAGAACCACTGGTCTAGGCAGTTAGGGCAGTGGATGTGAGCAAATATCTGTGAGATAAAGGGGGCAGCCATGGAAAGGTAACCTGTGGCTCAGCCAAAGCACAAGTGAGCAGTATATCTCCAAGATAGATAACTGTATACAGTGCCCTAACCAATCACCCCAGAGCAGTAGGTACTGTGCCTGTGAAAACCTAAGCAATTCATAGTCACTTATTATACTTCCGTTTCCTCATCTGTGGATGGAAAGTTCTGCTAATAATCTTGGAGGAATCCAGGCCAGGGTGAACTATGACTCAGGACAAAGAGGAAGGCAAGCATGCGGTCATGGAAGCTACTCACAGGCTTGGGGTATACACCAGGAGACCAGCCCTGGCAAGAAGGGAAGCACTATATATTAACTGAACTCAGCTGACCTTGAACACATTTTCCTAACCAATGAAAAATGAGATGTCAAAACCCATACAGTTATGATGGATGGGCCACAGCAACACCATAGTTAACCAGAGTCCATCAACCAAGCACAATCTACAGTTAACCACACACCACCCTCTCAGCACTGTCTTAGCCAGCTAGTTTGCAAAAACATGTTTAATATCATCACATTCTGGAAGGTGTTTTCTATAATTTAGCACTTTATGGAGACAGATTATTATACTTTGTTATAACCCTGGAACTCTCTAGAACTATTGAAATATTTAAGGATTTACCCCTCCAGGCTCTGCTCTTCCATGTTTTTAGCCTCAAATGTGATTTTTTGGGTTGTTTCATTTAAAACAAGTTTTCAAAGCCTGCAAATCTGTTTTTTTATTTATAACAAGCTGATGCTGGCTACAGATCAGACCTCCACTGGGCACAACAGTCCTGAGAAACCAGAGCTGCTGAGATACCAGCAGCAGCAGCCATGGCCACCATAGGTTGCCTCCACACACACCCTGGTGACCTGTGCTCTCTGTGTGCTGAGATGTAGAAATGTAGAGAATGCTCTAGGTCAGGGAAGGGATTCTCCTTTCCCAGCCACTGTTTCAGGAAATGGCTTAGGCAGTTTTTTGGGGATGAAGACAACACTGTAGGTAGCCCTGCCCTCCACTGTCAGGGCTTTTGGTCCATGCCCTCCTACAGCTGGATCACCTTGATGAGGCTCTCTAAGACAGACTTGCAGATACTCTTCTTGTCAGTGTTGACAAGCTCTCTCTTCTTCATCAACACCCGGTACCGATTGAAGAAGTCATGGTAGGTCCACCTGGAGGAAAAACCAAGGTGGTCAGAAGGTGACCTTAGTTGCTGTCTCATGGAGTCAAGGCTGTTATATACATTATTGTAGGAACTTCAGACCAGTCCCAGGAGAGCTTTGTCCTTTCCATTTCCTACTAGGAACTCCACAGTGTGTCAGGATTCCTGAAGTTAGGTTGGGGAAATTGTGTGTTTAGGAGGTACCTCCCATGGAGCCATGTCTCCATCTGTTCACACCCATAGAGCTCTCTCTTCTGCTGCCACCACTGTAGAATTCAGGCACCTTATGCAGACACAGCTTTGTCTATGCAGTTTGTTTTTCATCTTTGAGAAGTCATACTGATCTTTACAAACACATTTCTAAATGCAGGAAAGTTTGTAAGAATGAACATGTCCTCACCATGATTCTTTTATCACTGCTCTTAATTTGGAAGACAGAAGAACAGGTCATCGGAGACATTCTGCACTCCAGACTCTTTTTCACCTGACAAATTTTTACTGATCCCAAGGACACTGGGCCTTGGAACGAAACAGACTGATGTGAGTGGAAATAACAAAAGGTCATTTCTACTCATCTGTATCTCTTCCTTTATGACATACATGGCTAAAGATGGTTCTTTCCCTTTTTGAGGAAGGATTTTATGTACCCCAGGCTGACCTCTAAGTCACCACAAAGCTGAGGTTGACCCTGAACTCTGGATCTTTTCTGCCTCCCCTTCCCAAATGCTGGATTACAGGTGTGCAACACACCCCTAGCTCATGTCTGCTCCTTTTAAACAAGCAAAAGCTTTTGGGACATCATATACTATATACTTATCCTTTTGTGATTATTGATATGTATGGTATTTTGCCCACATGTACATCTGGGCACCACATGTGTGTCTGATACATGCAGAGGCCAGAAGAGGGCATCAGATCTTCTTGGGACTACAGTAATAAATGGTTGTAGGATGTTACAGGAATGCTGAAAATCAATTCCGGGTCCTTTGGAAGAGTAGCCAGTGCTCTTAGCCACTAAGCCATATATCTAACCTAAATTTTCCCCTTATACAGTTAAAATAACTTTTAGTGTATTTGTGAAGTTGTGTAACTATCCCCAGTATTCAATTCCAGAACATTTTCACAACCCCCAAATGAATTCTCATACCCCTGAGTAGTTTTGCCAGCCCCTGAAAATCACAAATCTACTTTGCCTTATACTTCTTGGTTTTAAGCTGGCACGCACTCTCTTAATGAGGGAAGGCAGAGAGTACTAGAGCCCTGAGAACTCTATCTCAGGGTCAGGAAAGGTGTCCCCTTGGCTTTGACATTCTACTCATTGAGCAGAAACTCTCCCACCCTCTAGTGGTGGACTACTTGCTACCTTTAACAGCTACCTTACAAATGCAAACAGGGCCATGCGTTAGTGGCACATGCCTCTAATCCTAGCACTCGGGAGGCAGAGGCAGGTGGATCTTTGTGAGTTCAAGGCCAGCCTGGGCTACAGAGTGAGTGCCAGGTCTGGCTCCAAAGCTACACAGAGAAACCCTGACACACACACACAAAAAAAACCAACCAACCAACCAAATGGAAATGGTAAGGTTATTTTCGCAGCTAAATGCAAATCAGAAGTGCATTTTGTTTAGTAGCTTATTGTGTTGGTGCTTTCCTAGGCTCTTTCTGCCCTGGCCTCTGATACTTCTACCTAGAGGAAGATGGACTTGGCTAAGAACCCAGTGGAATCATGCCTGTGAAAGAACTTCCTGGAGTCTAGATCTCCTTGCCACCTCTCTTACTCTGACTCCTTGCCATTGATATACACATCTCAGAATGTAATGGTTTGGTGTGGGCACTTTCTCCTGACTGTTTCTCCTGACTCTTGAAGGGCACTTCTCCCATTCTGCATCATGGTTATTTGTGTGCTTACTATTTGTCTCTGTGAGTTTGCAATTTTGCTGTGAAATAATTAAGACAGCATTTAGCTGGGCTAAAATCCTTAAATGTTTCTAATTTGAAAATTCTCTTGCTGCTGACAGATCTACAACTCAAGGAAATTATGAGGGTGGGGGAAATGTGACTGCAAAGATGTCAAATCCAGTTTGTAATGAGTTTGGAACACAGGAACATGGAAGTATGACTCTGACCTTGGCCATTACTGTGACCCAGGTAAAGACCAGACTGCATGACATCTCTGCTTAAGAACAGAGTCACCCATCTCACTAAAGTACCTGAGCCTTCATAGCCAATGAGTCATTATAGGAGTTCTGGGAAAGCTATCCAATATGTTCCTTCCTGCTTAAGGCACCCAGGCCTTTTTACTTGCAAACACATTTTGAAACACACCTGCAGAAGGAAAGGGTGGTACAGTGAAGTTGGAAAAGAGGAATGCTGAGAAGAGAACCCCTGGCCTTGGGAAGGAACTCGTTCCCCCAGGAGATAGTATAACAAATGTGAGTTTGCTGTGAGGGCCTGGCATCACCAGACCTATAGAAACATCATTTACCACAGAGTCCAGGATCAAAACACTGGTTCCCTCTTTTAAGAACCTGCATGTACCCAATGAGAAAACCTTCACAGCAAAGTCTCCCTGACTGTAGTGTGGTGTCTTTATAACCAGTTGCTTACTATAGTTGAATAATATTTTATTGACTATTCAAATGGTTGGGCCCTCCAGCTTAAACCTTTTCTACCAGTACCTCTTAAAGGGTGTGCTAAGGGATTAGAGTGTGAGAATCCCATACAATTCAGGGTATTCTGGAACTTTGGACTATCACCACTCCCTCACTGAGTCATGGAACAACAACAAAATCTCTCAATACCTGCAAAAACATTTGCTATAGAATATATGTTAGTTTTCATTTAGAAGGCTAGCAGCCACTATTGTCCTCTAATTATGTGGACCCTTCCTACTCAGGTGACCATGATATATCTTCTCTCATTCAGTATAGCACTGTGCCTCGCTGGCTGCAAAGCATCCATTCCCAAGGATGGCATGGCATGGAATTCTATCTCATATTAGTAGCAGAAGCAAAACACTCTGAGACTAGGGCCAGCTCCTGACAGCGCTCTATGACAGTGTGCAGCCACTGTGGAGGTAGGCTCCCCACTTCCTTAACCCTGACTTTCTCCCTGGATTCCAATGCATATGCTGGGTGCCCATCTGTGCATTCTAGTCTTCAATATCATGCTTCCTTTTCAGAAATGACTTCCTTCACCTGAATGGACAAACAGTCCTTAGTGTGTGTGTGTGTGTGTGTGTGTGTGTGTGTGTGTGTGTGTGTGTGTGTGTGTGAAATTTGAGGGCTGTGACTGCTTTGAGACTAGGCAAACATTTATCAGAGCATTCAATCTGGAGAAAGGCCTGCTTAGAAATGAGCTCCTTGGGCTTGAGACATTGAGGGATAATGCAGCTGTTGTGAATGTCACAGAAAACAGAGTTGCTTGGAGTGCTACTTTGGTTGACCAGGTTCCCATTTCGAGCCTTGCACTGTATTTAACCATCACCATGTAAGGCTATTCTGCAGAAGATGTCTGCCTACAAGATTATCTGTGAAGTAGGGTAGATAAAGTCATCAGTGAACTGAGACAGACATATGAAACAGGCTGGCCACAGCTGCACAGCTCTGTGTTGCTCCCCCACTGAATGAGGATATTGGCTTGATTACATAAACCCTCAGATTACCTCCTGAGAAAGACCTTGGTATGATTCTTTAAGTCAGTCTCTATGATGTCAGATCACAAAGAAGTTGCCCTGAAGATGCCATGGCCAATGGTCTCAAGGACCCTTTAGAAAATTGTGAAGAACCCTTCAGGGTAGGATTAGTATTCTTTAGTAATTATACTTTTGGCTGCTACAAGGGCAAACACATCCTTAACTGTTTCCATCTGGGAGGACTTGATTCAATCACAATTGTCCTGGGATTTGTTTCCTCATTCATAAAATGCGATACTGCCCATCTTGCTGAGCCCAAGAGTCAATGTGATCTTTTCATAAAGTGATGCCGAGACAACAGCATACCCCAAACAAACATTGAAGTTGGATCCCTTATCTCATAACTTACATATAGGATTACTGAAAGTTGTGAAACACTTAGAAGAACTAGTACAAACCTTTGTCCTTGGATTGAACAATGATTTCTTAGATATGATGTCTAAAGCACAAATAACTAAAAAATAAAAGCAAATAAATTCAACTTCATTAAAACTGAAAAGTTGTTGCATTTAAAAGAATGCCATCAAGAAAATAGGACCATGCCCTTCCCCTATAATGAGATTGATGGCTACCTTATACGCCATCATAGAGCCTTTATCTAGTAGCTGATGGAAACAGAGGCAAAGACCCACAGCTAAACACTGAGCAGAATTCATGGAATCCAGTTGTAGAGAGGGAGGAGTGATGAGCAAAGGGTCCAAGACCATGCTGGGGAAACCAACAGAAACAGCTGACCTGAACAAGGGGGAGTTCATGGACCCCAGACTGACAATGTGGAAGCCAGCATAGGACAGAACTAGGCTCCTTGCAAGTGGGTGTTATTTAGGAGGTCTGGGCAGTCTATGTGGCCCCTGGCAATGGAATAGCATTTATACCTAGTGTACGAATGGACACTGGGAGCCCATTCCCCATTCTCAGCCTAGACACATGGGGAAAGGCCTAGGACCTGGTCCAACTGATGTTGACAGACTTTGATGATACTCATAGAAGGCCTCAACCTTTCTATGGAGTAGAAGAGGGATTGGGGTCATTAGGATACATAGGAGGGGGAGGGTACTGGGATTGATATATAAGATAGTTTCTAATTTAAATAAAAAAAGGGAAAAAAGAAAATAAGAAGACTAATCATAGAATTGGTATTTGCATGTGTGATAATGGTATCAAAAGTAAAACTCTCATTACTCAACAACAGGCAAATAATCCAATTTTTAAAATGCACAAATGATTCAACCATACATTTCTCTAGAGAATTCACAAAATGACCTAAAACATGTGAAAAGGGCCAACATCATGAACCATTAGGGAAAAACAAATCAAAA